AGCTGATCTCAGTTCTCAGATCCGTCAGTTAGAAGTCGCCTTAAGCTAGAAGTCCCGCCAGTCAATGTAAGCCATAAGCTGATCCCTGTGCATGACTAGGAAGCAATGGGAATTTCACTGAGACGAGAGAGCGCGGTTGACAAAGAAACGATAAAGACGTATGGACTCCAAAGAGGAGTTATGATTATACAAAACTTTTAAAGACGATCTCTTACTTATTATTTTTTGTTATTCGTGTTATTGTTAATCGTCCGTCCTTATGTAAATTTAATTTTCAATATATATTTTTTGTTTTAAAAACAGTGCCTATTTATTCTAAGACGACCACTCATGCCGTCCCCACATATATGTTAAGCAGACTTATTTAAGTGTCACTCATATTTAGTTGCTGATGTGCACAGTGCTATTGCTACTGATGTCATTGTGGCGTTTCTCATAACTTTTAATTTTACCATTTTTAGCAGCACTTACAATAGTTGGGAACTTCCACCAGAAAATATGACAAATATTTTTATTTATATGGTAATTGACTACCAATGTGTACAGCACCCCGTTGGCGATTTTATGACAAAAGAATTTTAAAGTGTGTAGCATATATTTAAAATATGCAAGTGATTAAAAACGGTTGCGGTTTTTTTAGTCTCTCATTTGCCTTTGTTTATAGATCGTCCTTTTTATCAACATTTTATTACAGTGCGGTATTTTAAAAATGTTTCCGATAGGGATTTTTCCTTTATCGACACTTTGCCATGAAACAGGATATGGATAGATGAGATTCCTGGCTTACAAGATTTGAGATTTTTAGCTTTTTTTTTTGCTGTTTCTCTTTAAATTTACAACTTCATCTTTGTTAGCTGTTATTTTTTACTGACATTCCATATTTCTCGAGGTTAACTATTACAGTTGTGTTTTCCTTATAAATGTTTTATTCTTTTTCTACAAACCAACATTTTGCAAAAACCAATTGTTTTCTATCAACATTTTTATAGTTATGGAGCATATTCCAAATAGATACATTAATTTGGGAATTGAGATTATGGCATTAAGTAACACCAAAAATATTTAAAACTATATTTTTTACAGGGTATCCATGCACCTTGAAAGCCATGAAAAATCATGGTAAGTCATGAATTTTGGTATTGAGCAAAATTTGTCATGAAATGTCATGATTCGACTATTTTCATGATGAAACTATTTTTTTAAAAAAATCATGAAAATCAATTTACTCCCCCCTCCCCCAATTTCATAGTGTTCTTAATACCTGAATTAGTAACAAAATCCCCACTCAGTCACATTTGATTAAAATATAAAATGTTTTTATTGTGTTTTTTAAAAATTATGGTGTTATTTCAAAAAATTAAAGAAAAAATATTATTTCTAGAGCGAATCATCTTTTAAACTTCTGTGATTTTAGAATTTTTGTTATAATTTATTATTTTTACTTTATCAATTTAAAATTTTAGCTGAAGGCAAGTCAGTCATTGGTGAATTTTTTTTTTTTTAAATTCAAAATGAGAACAGAAAAATCAGGAGTATTTTTTCCCTTTCTGATGAACAAGAAAAGTATCTTTAGACTGTAATTCTACAGAAAAAAAGAAAAAATTATTCACTTTCGTATTTTTTTCAGCTATTTTATTGCTTCAACTCTTTCTTTATTCTGTTTTTTAAATTCAAAATCTATAAATATGAAGATGTAGAGTATAACAGTTTTGGTTAAACCCATCATTTCAATTAATGTTTTTTAATGCTTTTTTTAAATTTATTGTTGTGTTTTCGTCAGAGAAAATAGTAACTTCATTAAGTCATGAAAAATTCTTGGAATTAGTCACAGAAACTCGTGAATTTGAAAATCTAAAATGTGGCAGATACCCTGTTTTATTTTCTGTTTCTCTTTCACTTCCACTATTTCTAATATTTTTTTTCTGTTCATTTAATTTTAATCTTATTGCTATTTTTATATAGATTTTATTCGGTTGTTTTATTAAAAATTTTCACAATGAAATATTATAGTTTATCTCCCAATAATTTTTGTTTTTTTTAAATTTTGAATTATTTTTTATTTACTGTTTCTTTTCCTTTGCAATATTTGACATATATAAACTTTTGTTTTCATTGACAATTTTTTTAGAGCAGTAATTATTTCAGTAACATGAAACACCAAGAATTTAAGAGTTAAATTATAAAAACATGTGGTAATTAGGTAAGACGCATTCAATCACGTTTTGAGTTTTTATTCTACAGTATAGAACCCGTTATCCGGAAAACCAAAAAACGGGAACGAAATTCGATAAATTTTCCCGCCATTTTCAAAAAAAAAATTTTTTTCCTCTTAAGATTTTAGGATTTTTCTTTCTATTTTGAAAGATGTTTACCTTACTATCATTTTGGAAATAATCTTTAGTGTATTACTTCATTGTATTTTCTTCCTTTTAAGATTATTTCCAAATTATTATTTTTTAGTTGGGGTTAACAATAAAAAAAAACGGCTTTTTGTAGCGATTCCGAAAAGCGGAAAATCAGTTATCCAGAATAGCGATGGTCCTGATCGTTCCGGATAATAGGTTCCCTACTGTACTTCACAATAACAATTTATCTTAAATAGTTTTTATAGACAACTATTATGGTTTCTTTGTTCTTGATGGTTTTTATTTCTTTATAATTTCTGATTGCAATTATTTTTGATTTTCACTACGGTACAGAACAATTTATAGAAAAAAAAATTATAAGTAGAGATTTTTGGTAAGAGATATCCAAGAATTTTAGCATGCCTGAAATGCACGGATTCCAGATTATCAAGCTTTTAATGTATTTTGTCTAATAAATAATATTGCTGTATTTCAAGAACTTTTTTGGCAATACTAGTACATAGTATAGTTCTGAACTAAATCTGAAACAAGACTGAAATCTTTTTAAGTATTCCACATTACATTTGCTCTATAGTAATTCGAATTAGTAGAAGAAAATATGAACAGTAAAAGAATTAAGTATTTTTGTATTACTCTAAAGTAATTTGATATTAATAGTTGTATTGATGATATGGACATTAATAGTGATTGCTATAAGATATTTAATAACTAATCTATATATATTTTAAACAAGTAGGAAAACTGAAAACAGTTAAAAACAAAATATGAAAACAACAGATAATAATAATGGCCAACACAAATACACTAATTGATGATCAACAACTTTTATACGATTCTTTTTTCCCCCCTTGTAGCATACACGAACGTAATACAATGTAATCCAATTCCATGGATTTCAATTTTCACTGTGATGTCACAGAAAGCAATAGCATTCTCGCAAATTTCTGACTATAAAGGAAATTTCAAAAATTTATTCAAAAGAGTTAAGAAGAAGGAATCTTAAACAGATATTTTTTTAAAAAATGGCATTGCTTACTAAAAGAATTTTGAAACCCTGGATATAGTGAATAGAAATATTAAGAACATGAGTTTAAACACTTTATTACCAGCATAATTTTAAAAAAAATTAAAAATAAACATTAAACTTTAGAGAATATTCATTTAATGTAGGATACATTAATGTAAGGTATAGAGCATATTTACATTTCCAGATTATATAAATTAGTTAAAAATATCTAAGTTAAGCCATTTTTATTCTTGTTTTGTTTAGTGTAGGGTCCAACCTACCATAACAATAAAGTATCCATAGGTTAAGTAAAGCAAATAGTTCATAACAATAAAAAAAAATTTATTTAAACGAAAAATAATAAGAACGAAATACAATAAGCACGAAAGCTTATGAAAAATTAATACGAGGTGAGAGGGAGGAATGGAGCTACCACTACTGGCGAAACTCAAACTCGCCAACGGCGCCAACATTTAGCAATAAATCTCTTCAGCAACTGAGAGTATTTTATGATCTCCTTATAATCAAAATAGAGGGCTATTAAAATTGTTTAAAAAATGTAATGGAAATACATGATTGATTTATTTTATATTATTTATTTATTTTTTTGGAATTACTGTTTAGAACGTTGCCTGCAAGTGGGAAAAAGTATTTTTAGTTACATACCAAGTTTTGATAAACATGTTATTGTATGTGAACTAAGCAATTTGTATTAATGTTTTATAAGGGTAAAGGTATATGTTAGGTTTTTTATTTTTTCTATCTACAGGATATTTACTTATGAAAAATTAATACGAGATGAGAGGGAGGAATGGAGCTACCACTACTGGCGAAACTCAAACTCGCCAACGGCGCCAACATTTAGCAATAAATCTCTTCAGCAACTGAGAGTATTTTATGATCTCCTTATAATCAAAATAGAGGGCTATTAAAATTGTTTAAAAAATGTAATGGAAATACATGATTGATTTATTTTATATTATTTATTTATTTTTTTGGAATTACTGTTTAGGACGTTGCCTGCAAGTGGGAAAAAGTATTTTTAGTTACATACCAAGTTTTGATAAACATGTTATTGTATGTGAACTAAGCAATTTGTATTAATGTTTTATAAGGGTAAAGGTATATGTTAGGTTTTTTATTTTTTCTATCTACAGGATATTTACATCCAATATATAATAAATACTAATATAATTAAATTAATAGTTCAATAAAACTTTAATTAAACATTAATTTCAAAAAGAATGGGCAAAATTTTGGAGCTGAAAAAAAAAACTAAAATAAAATAAAAATATTTAAATTTTGTTTGAACTGTAACATAAGTTTAAATTTTCAAACACGTATGACTTTTTTAAATATAAGTTTTATGATTGTTTGTATTCAACTTAAATTTTAACCAGGCGCTCATTTTTTTATGTTTATAAATAAAGAATTCTGACAAAATTTTCAAACACACCAACTCCTTAAAATTCCTTTGCTCTAACAAAAACTATATTGCATGGCAATTTTTAACTGTCTTCAAAATGAAATTCTTTAGCGATGTTCTTTTTGAATAAATATAGAAAAACAATAACACATTTATAACTAGTTAAAAATTAAATATATAAGTTATGAACACATTTGCTTACCATGTGGAAGGAAGTCAGATGTTCTAAATGAATTCTGTGGTAAGCCAACATCACCATCAATGATTCTGAAGTCAAGTGTATACTGAATTTTATCAACTTCGAACATATCATCTGTACACTGTGTCTATTAAAAAAATTAATTATTTAAATATAAACAAAGCTTTTAACATGAAACTTTTTTTAAAGAAACATATACTGGATATCTAAAAACTTCAGAAACAATAAAATATCTTGACAAGTATGCAACAGATCAAAAATTAAAAAATATATGGGTGAAATATTTTCAAAATATACACTGAATTATACCAAACTCAATCTCCTCCATCATGACCCTGGGGATGATGCGGGGTAGAACAGCTTTAAACTCTTGCAAGAAATTTTTATTTTTTATAGCAGATTTCAATTTTACAAAAAAAAGCACCCAATTTTGACAGATGAGTTCATAGATGAAACTTTGTGTCTTAATATGAAAATGGGATACATCACAGATGAAAAAATAAAAATTATGTCTGTATAAAAGAAAAATTAAAAAGTGTGAAAGCATGGAAACTTCAATCAAAAATAATCTCATAAGAGTTTTAAACGTTTTCTCACCTTAATGATGTTTGCGAGCTCATCAGCTAAGCCACCTGAGCCCAAAAGTACCAGATTTAGCTGATTATTTTCTAACAGCCAATGGCTATTCCTTTGCCAGGATGGTGGTCTAAAGAAAAGATTGAAATGTAATATAATAATAAATTTGCATTATCTTTAAGCAGAATTATTAAATAAAAATTTTAAACCTACCTATGCGCTTTTTGAGCAATAACTTTTTCAACCAATGAGTCCATACACTTAAGTGAGGCTGGACAATGTTCTCTAATGGGTCCATGAACAAATCCTAAATGCCGAAGCAACATCAGCATTCGATCTTGATCTAAACGATCCAAGGTTTTATACCTAAAATATTCAACAGATTTAAATGTAGTACATTAACTAAAAATTCATTAACATTTAAAAAATGTTCTTACGTATTTTATAGATGTATGTTTCATAATTTAAAAGGATATAAATATATATATATATACATACATCAATAAAGTCCCATATACAGACGTCCCTTTCCTGAAACTTTCTATTTTCCGAATACTTTTAACAATTAAAATAAACAAACATCTCTTCATCTTACCCTTTCTTTAAAAAAAATGGGGTGATTGCAATTTTGATAGGACAAGGTCTTTAGAGGCATGTTCTCTTTTTCTAGCATCTGGTGATTTATGCATTGACCCCATAAATCATCAGAATGGAGAGAAGAACTACAAAGACCAGCTAGTACTTGCTGCTCCTCTGGAATGCATGAAGAGAGGGAGAACTATTACAAAAAAGCGCAATTGAATTCCTCCTCCCCTTCTACTAATGTCCAAACAAGTATAGCAGCCAGCTAGTAAAAAAGGCCTATCTTAAAACCTTTTTATTAGATTGCTAGAGAAAGAGAAAATACTGTGGAAGAGAGAAAAGGACAAACGGGGAACCATTCAAAATAAAGGGGGAGTTAGAATGGAAAATCTGAATAGGTTTGAAAAGATACACCTCTTTGAAAAACATTCGTTCTTCCTTTAACTATAAAATATTTACGGAGCGGGGAAAAAAGGGGCAACATCTTTTCTTTACCTTTGACATGAAAATGACTTAAAGACTCCCTTCTACTGAAATATAAACTAGACTAACGAAAATACCTTTGTTCAGACCAAGAATTGCACTGCAATTCTCCGAAATTTATTATTTTTTGTCTAGTTTTTCCTCAAACATGCTGCACCTTGGCGAAATAAGTGTTGCAAAATTCTCCAAAACTAATTTCTCTCACCAAATATTTCGTATTTAGAGTTATTCAATGCATCACATTGTTCGTTTTTACCGTTCGAACTTTTGTGAGTTAAGAAAGTGTGATTTTTGACTGCTTGTTTTTTTAATTATTTTCATAAGGTTTTTGATAAGTTATTTTTTTAAGTTTTACAATCTGTAATTTTATTAAGTTTTAATTGACTTGTTATTTGTGTTTTTTATTATTAAGTTATCTTTGCTGATTTGCTTTTGTTTTACCTATTTCTTCATGTCAGCCAAAAGAGAAAAAAAAATATTTCCTTATCACAGAAAAATTTAAATTGCTTAGAAAATTAGGCATGGGCACTTCAGTGTCTAATCAATGTGATGAATATAAAATCGGAAAGTCTATAGTGTATGACATAAAAAAAACAGAAAGAGAAACTGTTTCACTATTTTTCCAAGTCTGATACACCTCTTGTGATGAAAGATCGAAAGTATATTCAAAATGCAAAGCAGAAAGATCACGATAAAGTAGTGATTGAGTGGGTACGACAACTTTGTAGTGAAGGAGCGTGATTAACAGGACCAATTTTAATGGTTCAAGCCAAGATTTTTCACGAAGAAATGGACATTCATGAGGAATACAGCTATAACACTAGAGGTTTAATAAAAGACAAGGGATGCAGCAATTAGCTATTAGTGGTGATCAATTTGAAGCTGTCACTGAAGTTGCTGAAAATTTTTTTGAAGATTTAAGAGCTGATAAAGTAAGACTTGTTACCAGAACAAGTGTATACAGTGGAAAGTCGCGCATCCGGAATCGGTGGGACTTTTGGTAGTCCGGATATTAGATTTTTCCGTATAATAGACTCCCAAGGTAAACAAAGCTTAAAATGATCTAATAAAAGCTAAGAAGCAGAAAATAAATAAACATTATTTTTCGGGCAATAATATTTTAGTATTAGAATGAGATCTTCCAATCAATCAAAAACAAAATATTAGAAAAAAATAATTATTGCTTAAAATATAGAAAACGAAAAAAAAAATTGATAGTTATGAAAATATTAATTCCTCTCTCCGCCACTTTGAACTGAAACGATTCAAGCAAGAAGGGAAAATTCCAGTCTTTCATTACGGTGGGTAGGTGTAGAAGAAAATTCATTTCCTCCTTACTTGTCATTCAAGTTGAGGGTGGGGCGGTGACCAATTCTTATTTTCTCTCCCATCATTGGCTATCAATCAAGCATAAAGGCATGCTGATTGGGTTCCCTTTATTTTTTCTTGTATGACAGAAAGTGACTCCCCCTCCTCATTAACATCTACTGTGCTTACCCCTTTTCAGAGTATTTCACCTAATAAAAACACTCTAATAAACATGTTCCAGAAAATGCCTCTTTTACTATCCAGCTGCATAGGAAAGAAGGGGGGAGGAGACTCAGTTGCGCTCTTTTGAAAACAAATCTCCCTCCTTTCCTGCATTCCTGAGGAGAGGGTCTTGGGAAGTTTTCTCTTTTCCTTTCTGTTGATTTATGGGTTCAATGCATGAATCACTAGAAGCTAGAGAAAGAAAAAACGTGTCCAAACTGTTTTCTTTTTTTTTTTTTAAGGAGAGGGGAAGATAAGAGATGTTTATTTTGATTGCTAAAAAGTGTCCAGGAAATCGTCCCTTCTGGAAAAGGGACGTCCAGATATGGGACGTTACACTGTTTAACAGGACTGTTTTGGCATTATATAACACGTAAGACTTTAGCCGTGGCCACAGAAAAGAATCCTACGGGTGAAAAAAATTGCTAAGTACGGATGACAGTTATAGCATGTGCAAAAGCTGCAGGTATGCACAAATGCAAATTGTTTATAATCGGGAAAAGTGCATTAGTTGCAATTTAAAGAGATATATTTTTACATGATGGGTTATTGATTTATGCTATGTTTATTTTAAATTGTGTCATTTTCCCTCCTTTAGATGGCTGAGCACATGATTCCCATGTCTCTAATGCATTATCAATACATTTTATCACAGTGTATTTCACTTTATTACAGTAAATTATCTATTTTTTATAATGCTTAATGATTTTTAACCCATTAGCACAGTGTTTCGAGTTACAATATTTTCTGATTTTTAAACGATTAAATACCGCATAAGAATATTTCTATTATTATTGATTAAAAACAGCTGATTAGAAACAGCATTCCAATTAAAATTGTTTTATTTTCTTCCATTTTTACTTAATTTAGTAAAGTATAGCAATGCATTTTTTCTAATAATGCACACGTTTTCTAATATGCACACGTAAAGCAATCCCCTTTTGTAAATCAAAGGGAAAAGAAAAATAAATATACCCCTCCTTAAACTTGTTTTGACAGCCACCGACGCATGAACCATTAATTCCACAAGAAGAAATAAAGAATAAAGAAAAACGTAATCAGCAAGCCGCTCTTTTATGTTTGATTGATGGCCAATGATTGAAGAGAAACTAAGAATTCTTTCCCCTTCCAATAGAAAAGATCTCTTAACAAATCTTTTCTATAACAAAAGGGGGGTAAATAAGTTTTTCTCCCCCATGTTTATGTAAATAAAAACAGGTTTTCAAAATTTTCTCTTTTCGTATGCTTGATTTTTAAACGAAAGTTTAAATAAATACAATATAAATATATACATACAGTAGGGAACCGATTATCCGGAACGGTCGGGACCATCGCTATTCCGGATAACTGATTTTTCCGGTTTTCTGAATCGCTACAAAAAGCCGTTTTTTTTATTGTTAAACCCAACCAAAAAAAAACAAAAAAAACAATTGGAAATAATCTTAAAAATAAGAAAAAACGATGAAGTAATACACTAATGATTATTTCCAAAATGATGGAAACATCTTTAAAAAAAGAAAGAAAAATCGTAAAATCTTACGAGGAAAAATTTTTTTTTTTATAAATGGCGAGAAATTGTATCGAATTTTGTTCCGGTTTTTTGGTTTTCCGGTTTCCTGATTTCCAGATAATGGGTTCTGTACTGTATAAGCTTTTTTTTATTAACTGAACAATAAATCTGCTTAAATAACTAAAGTTTTCAACCAAATTGGGACTTATTTTCCCAACTATTTCCTTGTGAAGTTTCCAAGTTGACTTTAGCCTATTCTACCAAGAAAGTAAGAGAAAACTAATTTTCAAACAGTTCAAATTTAAATTCTCTGAAATCCAATGATTGCCAACACATTACCTAGCTTCTTTTTCTTTTTTTTTTTCTGACCAGACACAGAAAATTTAGGTACTAAAATTTCAATGTTTTGAAGAAAATGTCTAGAGTCTGGGGGGGGGAGAAAAAACCTTAGAAAAGCCACATTCTATTCTATTTTTGAAGAAACAAATTTTATTTCCGCATTTCTTTTTTTTTTTTTTTAATCTAAATTTATTTTAGAGAAATGTAATAAAAGTGAGATCAAATTTAATGAATTATTTTTTGTGAAGTGTGATAATGCTTGTATCCTACATAAATATTTCATTCAAAAATTTCTGTTTGTCAAACACGTTAACCAGTCATATTACGTTGCAAAAACCTTTGGACGCAATATTTGTGTGCACAGAAAGCTTTTAATTTTATAGTCCTTTTTCCTAAACAGCAAAAAATCAAGACAGCAAAAGTACATTATTTACCTTTAAATAAATAAAAGAGGTTTTTACTTAGATTTGTCAGTATTGAGAATAGGTAACTAACAAAAATTGTGAAAATATCAATATCAATTTACAAAACGATAAAACTTCTAATTGTTTACATACTTGCTAGAAGTTTTTTTTTAATAAAATTTGCATATTAAAAGTCGTAATAATCGTCAAAATATATATATATATCATGATCAAAAAAAAAAATTTTTTTAAGTTTTATTTCTCATACAGTTTAAAAAATTGAAAATTCCACCATAAGTCAAAAGAATCTTATAGCTCATTTGTGAATGATCAGTTATGAATAAATAATAATTATGCAAACAGCAAAATTTTATTCTTATTTATCACAAGTAAACATGCATTTGTTTAATTCATTAAAAATTTCAACAAATTTGTTTTCTCCAAATATCCAATCTTCATTTTTATATTTCTTTTAAATACCACTAAAGATGTAAAATTTTGCATTATATAAAGTATAAAGGTATTTAAATAGGTTATGTATTCACATAAATTTTAATGAAAACACTTGACATGCTTTCATGGTGGGAAATGCTTTCTAAATCTGCAACTGCACCATTTTTTTTTTCTCCCTATAATTTGTATTACTTTCACCCTCTGAATAAAATCAGTTATACAGGACTGCCAACTTTCTACACTATTCATAAAAATTTATTCCAGTGGTAGCTAAGTTAATATTTTAATGCATTATTTTCATTTGTTTAAACTTATTTACCACACCACTACATATTAATGATTTAAAAGTTCATATGCAACGCCACTTTGTTCGAATTCTTTCCCGGTGAGACTTTTAAAATGTTGGGACAAATTATCAGAAATTCTAAAAGCTTTGGTATTTAAACGTCTAACATTCTATAGAATATTTTACAAAAAGCATAGTAGTTGGTAGGTCCTAATTAGAGTTAAAACAGTGATTTATAATAAAAAATACAAGTATTAACAAGTTAATACATTACCTTAGATCTTCTTGCAATTTTTCAGTGATTTTATTTATATCTTCTTGAGTAATTACACTACCAGGTCCAATACTAGTGAAATGATAAAATATTTCGGCATTTTCTAACAAAAGTTCTTGAAAATTTTGCTTAGCTTTTTCAGTAATTTCTCGTTGATGTTCATCATAAATTTCAAGTAAATCTGGTTCGGATAGCGCTTCGTAACATTCACGACCCATAAATAGAACTTGAACTTCTGATAATGGTTTACCAGGTGTGACATAACCAGTCTCTTCAAGCAATTCCTTAAATTGTTGGCGCATTCTAAAAATAAAGAAAAATTAAATCAAAAATAATTTATCTAATGAAACATTAAACTTACTCATACCATGAATATATTTTAATTAGAAGAAAAATTAAAAACATTTAACAATAATTTTAGTAATGTATTATAAGAGGAAGTACAAACTGAATAATAAAGAGGGCAATTAATTTCAGACACCCAAAAAAAGTTTTTTTATGAAAACTGATTGATACAAACTGAATAAAGTTTTGTAGAGAAAGTGCATATTTCAAAAATGAGCAATATGAATATTGAAATGCAATTAGGAATTTTGTCAATTACGAAATAACAACCCATGGTAGCTCAGGGGATAATAGAGTTTGCCTTTCAATGAGGTGAACTGGATTTGAATGTCAGCAATGGCTGGCCGATATGAATTTTGTACCCGGCTCACACCAACCATGGTGCTGACATAAAATATCCTCAGTGGTAGACAGATCATGGGTTACAGTCCCCTTGACGTCAGGCTAATAGTGGGCTTATTGCAGTTTTCCTCTCTATGTAACACAAATGCGGGTTAGTTTCATCAAAAAGTCCTACACAAAGGCAAAATTTCTCCCACTAATTTATCCAGGAATTTTCTTGTCTTCTGGAATGGGATCAAAATTACCAAGGCTACCAAGTAGAACATTTGCTGTTGCGAACCCAAAATTAGGTCGGCTGTTCAACGCCAGTAATAAAATAAAATTAACAAGTAAGAAATTGATAGATAAAAAAATCAAATGCTAGTTTCAGAAAAATACATTAGCAAAATATTATTAACAACCTTTAACAATAACTGTAGTTTTTATTGTTTTTTCATCCCATTTCTAGTACAGTACAGAACCCGTTATCCGGAAATCAAAAAACTGGAACAAAATTCGCTAAATTTTCCTGCCATTTAAAAAAAAATTAAAAAATTTCTCCTCGTAATATTTCACGATTTTTCTTTCTTTTTTTTTTTTAAAGATGTTTACCTTACCATCATTTTGGAAATAATCATTAGTGTATTACTTCATCTTTTTAAGATTATTTCCAAATATTTTTTTTCTTTTTTTGGTTGGGTTTAACAATAAAAAAAACTGCTTTTTGTAGCGATTCAGAAAACCGGAAAAATCAGTTATCCGGAATAGTGATGGTCCCGATCGTTCCAGATAATCGGTTCCCTACTGTATTTTAAATTTGGATTTTAAAAATTTCAATGTTAAAATCTTTTTATATGTTAGTACAGCACACTAATTTCTTACTCTATCAGTTTGCAACAATTCTGTTATAAATCCACATCGCTTTCTGATCATTTTTTTAAAATTATTTATCATTTTTCTGACATATCAATGGTTTTACAAACTCCCATTACTCCAATATTTTTTATGCAAAGTTATTAGGGTACTCGAATTTTAATTTTGATTAATCACTTTTTGACGCACTCGATTTAAAATCATTCCATCATTAATTCACGTCTTTTCCGACCGTTTTTGTAACAGTTATTTTTCCTTTTAACAGTTCTTCCATCGTTTTTCAAATGACAACATTTTTCGATGTTATTACAATGCAAAAATTTCAGAAATCTTTTTTTAAAACATTCAATTTGCGACTAACATTATTTTCCAATTATTATTCTGGAAGTTATAAGTTATTTTTACAGTCGTTTAAGTATCGTTTTTAAGATCTCAATATTCCATAAATATACAATATTATTTCTGCTGACGAATTAGAAACAGTTTAGAATCAACTTTGAACAATAATTCACTAGTTTTAGTAGTGAATTTGTACAACGAAAAGATAAAAAAAAGTCATTTGGCAAATGTAATTTAGACGATGTAAAAAATAATTGCTTAATCCTTTTGAAAAACTAAAGTTTTTAGGAACAAATGTCAATAATAGTACAAGTTTTTGTCCTTTTCTTAATCTTGTGAAATATTATTTTAACAAAACGGCATCAATAAAACAAAAATTTAATGTTAGACTCAAAAATTTATAAATCTTGACTTTGTTAAGTATGTCAAATTTAGTGCAAATTTTTTTTATAATGAAAAAGTTTTTTAAACAATTTGTTTGGAAAAAATTTATAAGAACAAATTGAAAAAATTTATTTGAACTTAAATATTTATAGTATTTGATGTTATCCAAAAAATGCAAGTATGAACCCTGGTTTTGCTAATACAATTTTTTAGCACTAGCAAACTTTGTTAGTGATTTTAAAAAAAGAAATCATGAACTGGTGAAATGCAAAAAACTAATAATATAAAATACACATAATTCTCTTCTTCTTCCTAATCTCCAAAATTAGCAGGGCTAAACAATGTCTATGAAATTCATGACCCGGAGGAAGTCTGCCACCAAAAGTGGGTTTTCTATAATGTCCCTCTTGTCCAGTCCAGGATATGTTGGGGAGAAGCCCGCATGTTGTGACACCTGGGGCAGTTTGGGAAGATTTTAACACTACCTTCGAAAGAAAAAGACTTAAGGTGGCCGCTGGCAAGCGCCGCCTGATCCTTGCGGTTGCACCAGATGTTGAGTGCACCTCCTGGACGGGTGCTCTGGTACCAGTGATGTTTGGGGGGTACGAGCCTGGAAACATTGTCTTCTTTTTTCTTTTTCGATGCCAGTTGCATGAAGGTGAGTGAATTTGGACTCAAAGTTGCTTCTGTCACCTCCTTAGCCAGAGTGTCGGTGATATGATTGCCCAGAACCCCAACGTGAGAAGGGATCCACTGGAGGTGGACTTCACGCAGTTGTGAGAGGATTTTAAGTTTGTTCAAGATTGAAGCTCCTGTTTTGTCTCTCACCTTCCTCCAATGCGATAAGTACTGTATGGAGCTGAAACTGTCAGAGAGTATCCAGATATTATTGTGATCCTGTAGTGTTAGAAGAGAATCCAGGGCAGTATCAATAGCAATGAGTTCACTTCTAAAAACTGAGCAGTAGTCAGGATTCCTTTTGGTGATGTTAAAGGAGTAATTAATTGATTTAATGTAGACACCGCTGCCAGATGATGATGTGTCCCTCTTGCACACATAATTCATATACTTTTTAATCTTCAAAAAACTTGCTTTAAAATGATATCAAACTTCTTTTTAACACATAATTGAAAAATGAAATGAAACAATTTTGAAAAACAGAATCAAAGAATGGAAAATTAAAATTGGGAAACCATCTTTTACATAAAGCCATTTTTTTATAAGTTACAATATTTCTATCAAAGAAACTCATTTTTAATGATGTCCCATCAGTTATCATGTTAACATATGCTGCAGTAACATGAGCTTTAACAACGAAAGTGGAAAATATGATTGGTGAAATTAAGTATAAGATCTTAAAGGCTATATTTAAAGGAGTGCAGATTAATAATGTTTAGCAAAGACTTTTCAATGCCAAATTGCACAAAATCTACAAGGAATACTTTCCTTCTTTATTAAAATAAGCAGACTTAGCTGGAGTGCATTTATAATTCAGATTAATGACAACTGCACTTTAAAACAGATTTTTTTTTGGCTAAACCATTTGCAACTCAATATAGATGTAGTTGTTAAAGGGTTGAACATGTTAAAAATAACTTTCTTACTCTACATGTTAAAAATTGGAAGAACATTGTATCAAGAAGAGATGCATGAAGAGTTCTCATGAAGGATGCCTTGGGCCCATACCAGGTTGTCTGGACAGACATGATTAGTTATCATGAGACAATAGTTTCATAAAGAGCGGGGGGGGGGGGGAACGAATAAAAATGAAAAGATTTTTTATGACAACATTTTAAAAATAATGAAGGCATTTCATTGAAGAAATATAACAAATTCTTACTCTTTTCTTCTTTCCTCAGCTTCTAAGGCAGCTTTATGTTCTTCAAAACAAGCTTCAGCTTCAGCTGTGTCTAGAATATCTAGAGGAATACGAGTTTCATTGCTATCAACCAGGTCACTTTCTTGCCAAGGCATTTCATCTGGACTTTCCAAAAAATATTGGCTGAAATCAGGATGTTGTTGCAATTTGATTCTAACATTTTCCCAACCCCTAAAAAAATAAGTTTTACATTAAGTTTAAAATCTTCAAAAGCAAATTAAACATTCTAAAACTTGTGGCATAATAAATGCTACTACAGTTATGCATCAAATAATTTTTTATAAGTAAAATTTTTTAAGTTGGAAAAAAAACATGATATATTCAACTATTTTCTTGTTCGAAGCAAAAATAGTTACATAAGAAATTTGTTAAGTACAATTAAACAGCTCCTAATAAAAAAAAAAAATGCACACCTAATAAAAATTCTTAAAGCTATAAACTTCTTATCAGATACTTATTACCAGGGTAATGACTTCAACATTTTTATAATTGTTTTTCTATGTTATGCTTGTACTTTTATATTATTGTATTTGCCAGGCCATTAGAAACATTAAATAAAAGTTATTTGTTATAGAATTCATATTTACATAACATACGTTTTTTTATGCAAATTTACAAAAGTGAGACAACTAATATGTTGTAGGACCTGAAAAATTTCAAATTAATAGTCTGAAATCATGAGACTTACATGTAAATTACTCATCATTGCATCAAAAACATGAGGTTATTTAGTTAGAAATAAATCAGACTTGATAACTTCATCAAAAATCTATGAAAGGACTGACCACGATTGAGATAATTCTTTTCTTGTTGTGAAATTCTTTGTTTAATCAATCAATAGATAGAATAATTAAAAATGTGCTTATTAATAGATGGATAAAAATTAGAGAGCTTATAATTTTTTTTTTTTTAATTTCCTTTATTTCATGTAGAGTTAGTAAATTTTGAAGACTTAAAATGTTTTAAATTTCAGTTTTTTAGTTTAACTGATTTATAAAGATATTTCTTTAATGTTCATTTATATAAAAAAGCTGAAAGTTTTTAAAACGAATATTTTTATATTTTTGTTTTGCATTTAAAATCTTTTTTTTTTTTTTTTTTTTAGAATTCCTTTCTATAAATAAATTTTTGACTAATCCATACATAGTTTTTTCTTACAGTAATAAAGAGTACGGACTTATTTTATTTTACTTTCAGTTTGTTTTGTTTGGTATTACAGATCATTTTTTTCACATTCAAAAACTCAATATTGATTAATACCACAGAGATGAGATTGGTAAAAAAAAAGCTGAAAATAGACAGCTAAAAATTTTATGCGCAATGACAATTTTTAAATAAGTGAGAAAAGAAATACATGAAATTTGAACAAGAAAAAAAGTATGTAGGTAGCATTTATTATAGAAGCATATGTAAGTAGCATTTATCATAAAAGCATCATAGAATAATATCAACATTTTACTAAAAATATTGATGTGAGATTATTTAAGATGCGTGAATATGAATCTCAAAGTTCGATTTTTAAATCGTGCGAATATGTATCTCTATGATTGATTTTAAAATCTCATTAAAACGAATCTTGATGCTTGATTTTAATATCGTGCGAATGCGAATTCAGATGTATTGTGTCGAATAAATTGTCTTTAAGCCGACATAAAAAATAATGTAACCCTAGAGATAGACCAAAACGTCTTTTGCAGTGTGGCGGTATGATTGAAAAGGAAAATTAATAAAGTTTACTTTCCTATCAAGAATGTGATGTTTTTTAAAAAGCAAAGTGTTCATTTTATTAAATCTTTTTAATGGTCTAATGCGAATAATCACATAATCATCCATAGCATAATTTTTAAGCCACTCAAACACAAATCATAATAGCAGCTTTTTAATCGTGTGAATACACAAAGCGATATTTGTTATAAAATTGTAAAAATATGAAACAGGATTAGCAATCTTAAATTACATAAATAGGAATCGCGATGTGCAATTTCAAATCAAGTCAATACAATTTTAAATCTCACTTACTTGGTAGGAAAAAGAGTAAAAACAAATCTTTTTCTCAGAAATTCAAAAAAAGAAAAAAAAAACTAACTTTCTTTGAGGAGGCAGATTGTTTTCATTAAATTAATAAAAGAGTAAAAAAAACTCAGCCCTGAAAGTCTAATGCAATGACGTAATCGTGGGGAAAGGGCGACTGCATGAAGCAAAGAATAAAAATTCTCATATTAAAAACTGCCAGATTGACCTGCATATTAGGTTAAGGAACGCTATAGGTAAAACCTGAGGTATAAGCTCTAAAATAGTTCACTGGATTAACTCAATTAAATTATAGTCCTATTGTCACATATGGCGCCATTGACTGTTAGTCTAGGACTAAGTTGAGTTCCGTCAGGTCTAGTCTTAACAGACTGCAAAGAATGATCTGTGTAGCCTTGTTATGCTGTTTTAGGACTACTCCCACGGCTGCACTTGAGCTCCCTCCGCTACATTTGTGCATTGAAGCTCTGACACGCATAAAACGTTTTTGTATCTTGGATTATTGAAGGAATATTCTAAGCATTTGTTATGGGGTCACCCGTATCGCAAGTACTGATCTTCCTTCTTTTATTATGCTTAGTGATAATATGTCACACAAAGATATGCTTTTCATACGCCTTTCAACATCCATTCTCTTTCTAGAGATGACTGGCTCAATTCTCCTTAGTGGCTTAGGAGCAATTCTCTGGTATGGTACACTAATGGATGAAGCCTTGGTTGTAAATCAGAGGCAGGTATTTACTGCTCCAATGATGGTATCAAGCTTCACTTTCCTCTTGATAATTATGATACTGTTTTTTAGGCTGAAGTCTATGCTATCATCTTGCGCTGTAAGGTGTACCTAGACCTATTCACATCTGTTCTGACAGTCACAATGCTCTTCTGTCACTCTCAAGGTGTAAATTCAATTATTTAGTGTGGGAGTGCTTTTCAGTTCTTTATGATTTTTCTTTCCGTAACAAGGTATACCTACATTGGGTGCCTGGGCACATGGGTGTTCCTGGAAATGAGCTGGTAAATGAATTAGCAATGGCCGGCTCCAGTGCAATTTTCTGTGGCCATGAACCAGCTTTAAGAATCTCTCTCCGACATCCTTCAGGGCCTCTGTTTATTGCAAGATAGCATGTGAGCAGTGGCACAACTCAAACGGTCAAAGACAAGTTAAGGAGTTAAATCGTTATTGCCCCGGTGTGCATTAAAAAGAGCTTCTCAAATTGAACAGGAATGGGCTTGAGGAAAATCATTGGTCTTCTCACTAGTCACTGTACCCTCAGGAAACACCTCTACATTATGGGCATTGTATAGATCCTCTTTGTCATGGTTGTCAACTGGAGGAAGTGACTGCTCAACATATTCTTTGTGATTGTGAAGTCTTTTCTGCTCAAAGATTTGAGCATCAGGGAGAACATTGCGTTAAGGCCTGGGAATTGAGGAAAATTCTTGTCAGGTGTTTGCAGAACTTTGTTTCTGCTAGGGTACAGTAGACCTCTTATTGATGTGCCTTGCTGATCGGAGCTGCCTAACCTCTAAGTCTTATCTAATCTAAGGATAAAATAATTTTGATCTTCCTTTTCGGTAATTGTAAAACAAAAATTCCACTATAGTGACAAATTTTCTGCGAATGGTGTGTATATTATACATATCTGCTGGCAACCATCGATCTGAAGCCACAGTTCATTCAGGGAGGGGTTTGTGTGGCGAGTCATCCTGTTTGTCCCTTTAATGAAAACTTTTCACCCTACATTCCCTTTGAACCTGATTATTTGCCTAGACATACTGACTTAGATAAAATGAAAAACTTTCTGTGCATACAAAATTTCAATTAAAAAACTTTCTGCAAGCAATTCATAGACTCTTGTTACTGATTTCAACTTTTTGGTCAACCTAATTTTGATAAAATTTGCTCAAAAATTACTAATTTTTTCAAGTTTTTTAAAACTTTATATTGATTGAAATATCTGCTCATATTTGCTTGATACATATCAGCAAATATTTTGCTTAAAACTAGCAGTCTTTTGACAATAAAAAACTAGTTATTGACTCACTTTGTTTTACCTTATACTGAGGAATTTTTTTTTTTTTTTTTTTTTTTTTTTTTTTTTTTTTTTTTGTAAATCTAATCCCTAAGTCAACATTTTATTGCAAACATTCAATAAATATTTTTATTTAAAAAAAACCTTGCTTTCCATTCAGTTTTGATGGAAGGTCGAATAAGATTTTGACATTGACATTTTCTTTTTTAATACACGAGTAAAAAATTTTCAGTGAGAATTTCAAGTTTTCTGTGAATAAAGTTCACATGTTCGTGTGTATTGTGCACACCTGCCAGCTATTTAGAAAAAAGTCAATTCGAAGCAATTTTTTTGTAAATCTATGTGATTTCCTGAGTGCTTTTCGGCAGTAATTAATTGTGTTTTGACCGTGACTAATTGTTTCCTTGTGAACTGTTTGCAGTTTCCATATTTAAAACATTATAGCAACATGTGCATTTCAAACTTAAGCTGTCACTTTTTCCAACCACTTCATTTGTGACCCCTGAGGCAGAATTTTTTCAAGCTTTCTGTGACAATTCTCCCTAGCACTAATACCTTTCTCAGAGACATTTTTAATAGTAGCAAATATGTTACTAATTTTAAGTAAAAGAAGCACTTTCTGTTTGCAAAAAAACCTTCATGTATAGAACGGAACAGTACTTTTTTAATTATAAATATAAAAACAAATTTTTTAAATCCAAACATAAAAGAATACATGTTCTAATACTATTGGCAATATTCTCCTGTTCTAAAAAATATTTGTTTAGTTAATCTTTCTTAAATTTTTGCTATTTGGAAAATACTTTTTATAATGTCAATCGGAAATTCTAGCTAAAGCCAATCATTGCGGAATTTTTTTATTCTCAAAAGAAAGTAGGAAAAAAAAATCACAAGCATTTTTTTCCACCTCCAATATGCAAAGAAAGGTATTTTTAATATATTTCTGCAGAAAGGGGGGGGGGAGTTCCGCAGAAAAAAAATATTTAGAAAAATTCTGCAGATAAAAAATCCAAACTTCTTTTCATCCCAAATAAAAAATATTTTAGCAGGAACTCTGTAATGTTCTGCAACAAAATCGCCATGATTCTGCCACAGTGTTTGTGACTATTCCATCATAGTTTCACATTATTTGATTATAGTTATTTTTGGAAGTTACTTATCCTTTTTATGGCCTTTGAACATGGGTTTTTAAATTCTGATATTTTTAATCTGTTTTCATTACAGCGTGAGAAACATTCAAATTTTTTTTCATCTTCTCACATTACATAATTGTTAACGCGAGAAATCCGCACAGTCTATAAACCAATTTGAAAATGCTCCACTATTGTGCAGTTTTGGAATAAATTTTTTTAAATGTACTATTTTTCAACCTCTATTCCACATATCTCCTTCTCTTGTCGTCTGTCTTGTTCAGAACTGGTCCAAACGAAACATCCCCTCTTAACCAGGGGACCCCTTTCAGAACACATGAAATTGAGATGCTAATACATTTAAGTTCATTACTTTATACGTGAATATAAGATAGAGAAAAACCTAAGAAAATATTGTTCGCATTGAAATGTAAAAATAAAAATGAAGCAAATGCTGATAGAGATGGAACAAAACAAACACAGATAGAGACAAACAAAACTAAACAAATACTGATAGAGACAAATAAAACGACACAAATACAGGCATAATTCAGCAAAATGAAAAAATAAAGAGTTAAATCTTAAACAAAATGGGTGAAAATGAAAGAAATAGCATTATTTACACGTTCTACAAACTTTGCCGAAAGTGGAATGAAGAATTCTTTTAGAAGCCTAATTCACGAAGTCGGAACCGAAAAATCACTCATGGCTGTTTAAATATCACATGGAATCAAGCCTATCAATTAAATTATTATTAAATTTTGTACTAATTTCACATTTCCAAAAAGGAGTAATTTGAAAAAATTGAAGAGCTGATTGGGTAAATGTAGATGTAATTAATATAGCATGCTTTCACTTTAAATATAACTTATCTTTAATAGTTTGGTGTATCCTTAAATAATTTTTATTTCAAATTAGATGAAAAAGTACACACAGAATATTTAATTTTCATAAGGCGAAAATATTTCATGCATTAAAAAATAGAAGATATTAAAAGTGATTATATTATTAAGATATTAATTATATAATAATTAAAGAATTCTTTTCAAAGCCTATTTGCGTTCTCTATATTAATTTTTAGAAATCTCACGTAATTTTAAGAAATCTCACTCTGTTTTGGGGAAAATGTGAGAAATTATCCAGCATTTTTTTTTTCAGTGATGAAAACCCTGTTAATACAATGTTGTTACCATCTCGATTTTGCATATTTAATTTTTTAAGTGTTTAATTTGTGAAAATTCCATCGCAATTCACTTTGCTTCATGATAGCTCCTCCTAAATTTTTTTTTGGGCCCCAATCAAAGTTTTTTTTTTAAAAATTTTTGATCTATTTAATACGAATTTACTATGACACTTAAAATTCGAATTTAAGTAATTACTATTTCATACATTTGATTCGTGACAATTCCTTAGAAACTTCACATCATCGCATAGCAGTTTTTTCGGAATTTATTATTTTTCAGCTCTTTTCACTTGGTTTTTCAAATTCTGACCTTTTTAATTTGATGTTATAATGAGGTAGGAACTACAGATTTGTGTTTTTTTTTTACATGTTTTTCGGCAATTATTATTTTACATGCTCCTTTCACTTACTTGAATTCCCATATTTTTAATATGTTATAACAACTCTTAATTCAAGAGAATTCCATCGTTATTACACATCGTGGAATATTGGGATGTTCAGAAAGTTTGTCAATTCTATACTACTAGATAACCATTGCATCAGTACAAACTCTCCAGACAACAATTGTTTTTTTGGCAGTTATTTTATCCTTTTTCAGCCCTTTATACATGATTATTTAAAATGTTCTGATACTTAAAGATTTATTACGATGTTTGAGATGGAGCTATCACTTTTTCTATATGTTCAATTTGTAAAGATTTCATCATAATTGATGTCATCTAATGATAATTTTCAGGGCATTCAAATATTCTTTACATATCATTATGACAAATGTGTCCTTCAAATTTCAAATCATCACTTTCTGATATGCTCTAATCTTACTTTATTGTAATCCACATTGTTCATGGAACATTCTTTCGGCAGCTGTTTGTCATTTCTTAACTATTTTTTCATGGGTTTTTTACAAATTCTGATGTAATTAATATTATATTATGGCTAGGGAATTTCGTATTTAAATATTAATATTATATTATGGCTAGGAAATTTCGTATTTAAATATTAATATTATATTATGGCTAGGGAATTTCGTATTTAAATAATCATTTTTTACAAGCTTGGTTCATGATGATTCCATCATAAATTCAAATTGATTTCTGATCGCTTTTCTGGCAGTTATTACATTACTTAGCATTGCTTCAGTCACTCTTAATATGTTATAGTTACAACACACGACATAACATTGTTTTAAAAACAAACTTGATTCTTGTTTATATGAAAGGATGTTTTGTTTACCAGAATTGCTGAAGCATTGTACTTAACTAACATAATATTGTAGAGAAAAAGAGGATATCTGTAATTTTTATTTTAAATCAAATCTTTTATATCAAAAAAATAACTAACATTTTACTAATTTTCTAGTAAAAACTGAAATTTACTTACCCATCTCCAATACTAGCAAGATCAGGCAACAATTCCCCAAAGACTTCAGGCAATATTCTAATGTACATTTGCATTTTCCTACCAATATATTCTTCTTTTAATTTTTTTACATGTCTCCTAAACATTTTTTGGGCTGCATCATGGCCGAATAATTCACAATAATGAATAAAGTCTTGGTTTTGTGCAAACTTTTTGCTTACTGAGCTCCATAGTGCTCTGTAGTCAGTGACTTGTGCACGTATTAAAGATTGGTATGATTCAGTACAAAAATCTAGCACTTCTTTCCTCGATCTAGCAGAATCAAAGAAAGGAACTAGTTTTGCTTTCCCTTTAGTTCGATCAATCATTTGTGCAGTGATTATAAAAGTTAAATCGACATTAACATTCTCATGAGACGATGTTTCCACAATAGGAATATTATTTTTGAATTCCTTCCTACTCACTAAACGTTCTGCTTCTTTTACATACATTTCTTTCGCTTCATCATTTTTTGTTGTAGCAAGAACTATAGGCTTCTTTGTTTTCATCAGATTATTTAATATTAAAGCAGTGAATTCCACTTGTTTTTCTATACTTCTTCCTTGCACTTCACTAACATCAAATACACATACAAAACCGTCAACATTAATTTTTCCATCAGGTAATAACTTTTGCTCATATTCTTTTTCAATACCTAAAAATAAAAAGAATTTCTTAGTGATCAAACTAATAAAAAAGTATGCAGTTATCCCAAAAAAGGCACAAAACCGAATTTTACATGCTTGTGTCATATATTAACCGTAATTTACGATACATTAAAGTAACTGTGTTTAATTGAATATCACTATATATTAACTGTAACTGTGATCATGGTTGAATGAACTGAAAATGACATAATTGGAAGATGGTTTTCATACAATATATATATATAATATATTTTCATCTGAAATGGCTTGAATTAATTTATAACAGGATCGTACATAAATTACCTGGCGTAGTTGACATAGCCACAATGTCTGGATGCAGAAAAGTAAATGCTGAAAAAGCTTTGGTTCAGATTTTTTGGATACTAGAAAATAAATGATAGAAGGGCTAAAAAACCAAACATCTTTTAATTTTGGCAGAAACTTTTCCAAGAACAGAAAGAAATGCAATTAAATGTATGATATTTGTTACTTTGTACGGAAAGGAAAAGAAACCTGCAGAAGTGCAAGTAGCTACATTTATACAGTTTTATTGTTTGACAAGATATAAAATTTTTAAAAAATCTAATTGAAATTGAAGTTACAGATCATGAGTATGAATGAAAACCTTGCTCTAGCTTTATTTTATTATCTTTTTTTTTTTTTTTTTAAGTTTCAACTTAAACTTTTAGAAAATGCATTTGAATATGCATATTCTACTCATTAGATAAAAATTTCTATAAATTTTACGTTAGTGCACCTTTTTAACACTTAGGATGTGTATTTCCGAATTCTTTAGAAAAAAATATATGATACATACCTAATTGATTTTTACAGATATACATAAGCTTTTCAGCTGACGTTAATTTTGTTGCAGAACATCTCTTGTAATAAGGATCTGTTTTACCACTTTTAAATGGTTGGAATGAAGAATCATCAATGAATTCAGTCTGTTCAATAACATGAAAGTTAAAATCAATTCCTTCTTCAGAAAGTTTTGATACTTCTCCCCAATACAGAAAATGGTCATTATTAACAACCCTGCCACTAAAATCTGTCTGACTTAAAACTGATATATGATCAGTATAGTAATCATCTGCTAAAGAACGGATAAATCTATTGCATAGACAAGATTTTCCAACTCCTGTGCTTCCTTTCTCTTTTTCTGTACCAGATAATCCAACAACAGCTATATTGAAACTGCGCTGGGTTTCAGATTTTCTTGCCATATCTCCAATTCACAATTTCACTCTGGCACCTCCTCTATTCAACACAGTTTTACACCTGTGCCTGGTTTCAAAAATACATACATATTTTTAATGATAAAAAAGTATATGTAACCTAATCACACATCTAAAGAGTTTGAACATGGCAGGTAGCATAATTTGTTTTCATGTTGCCTCTAAATTTGAGAGTAATAAAGTATGTAAGTGATCATCACAGATTCCAGGACAATCCAAGGGAAGATTTATTTTATTCCCTGCAAAATAAGAATTATTTTAAAAATCACTTTAATAAAGCTATTAAGATTTTAAATAAATTAAATGCAAGGAAATGATTGAAAATCATAAAATATAGATTGAACAATTTGATACTGATGTATAATTTATATCAAGTGGAAAGAATATCAACAAGAAAAGTAGCAATCTATGGTTATTACATCTATAATTGCATTAAATATGTTCTACAAAAGTAGCACATTTATGCCACTCAAAGGAGAATTTTAGGCTATATTATTTAACTTATTTATCTGAATGCCTATTCTATTATAATTAAATCTAACATTTGTTACTTTTTAACTATCAAATAGTCATTTTAAATAATAAAGCTGAAACAATGAAATTGAGTTTTGTTCATTTATAATTAAAAAATATTAAGCCTTTTATGTGACAAAATACTAAATTTTCAGCCTGATAATTAATAAAAATAATTCATACTAAATTTTCAGCCTGATTAATAAAAATAATTAAATACTTAATTTAATGTATTCATTTCAAATAAATTATCTAAGTATACAGTAGTTAAATTACTCAAAAATAATAGAGGTTTTTTTTATTTTTTTACAATAAACATGCTGCGATTGGTTCAGAAATTGCACAACTTTTTTTTTTCATAATAAAAGTTTACTAGAGTGTTACTTATGAAAAGCAGTGGTTTTAGTCACATTTTTTATCAGCCCTAAGAAGACTGAGAAAAATTACTCAACTCACCTAAAACCCAATGTGATGAAAAAGTCATCACTGCTGCTCCATTTGCAGCATCCATGAATGCAAGTACATGTGAAAAGAAAACACCTGAAAATTACATATTTTTTAATGTGGCATTATTAAAAAACTACTATATTATTTATTTAACTGTATGCATGAACTTAGCAATGCATAAAGATTTATTACAATATTAAGAGAGAAGATATTAAGAAAAGCTGTAAACACCATATTAAATTATTGCACTCATATATAAAATCAATGAAAATAACTTTAGGCTAAAAGAAATATAGTTTTAGGCAAAAAAAATTGACACAGGTATTTAGCTGATGTGATAGTGATACAAAGCAAAAAACCTTAATATTTAATGTGCACAAAAACTAGATATCAAAATATCAATTTATATACCCATCTTCAGAGTAACAAATTTAAGAAAAACTTAGTTTTTACAAGAATCGTGATATTGCATTTTAAAATCTTGTTAATAAGAATTGCAATGTTGGATTTTAAAAAATGTGAAGAGACAAATTGTGATATTAGATTTCTATAATGAATACAAATCTTGATTAACAATATTTAGATCACATTACGAATCACAATCCGTAGCTTTTAAAGCACTTATAAATAAAATAAAAATTCAATGGTTGATATCACAAATGTGTGAATACAAATCATGATGTTGATTTTATAAACTAGTAACCACAAATTGCAATATTGGATTTTTTAATCACACGAATGCGAATGACAATGTAATATTTTTAAATCATGCGAGCATGTATGTATCACCATAAGTAACTTTTAAATCAGGTAAATAGGAAAATTGATGCGAACATAAAATCGCTTCACTATTTTTAGATCGCATTAATACAAATCGCAATCCGTAGCTTTTGAATCACTTATAAATTTTTAAAAAATCAAAGATTAGATATCACAAATGTGTAAAGACAAATCGCGATGTTAATTTTAAAAAATAGTAACCACAAATAGCAATACTGGATTTTTAAATCACGTGAATACGAATGACAATGTAAGATTTTTAAATTATGTGAATATGTATCATCACATGCAACTTTTACATTAGGCAAATATGAAAATAGATGCGAACATAATCGTGATTTAGAGGATTCCATTGCAGTTCCAAATATTTAAAATAACAAAAAATCTACTTAACTAAAAGATTCAAGTTGGCAAATTTCCACCAATTAACGGAAGAATTATGTGCATGTAAACATCTCATTAATGGGACTTAGTAAAAGATTGAAAATTTAAATTTTAGAATGCAGATCTCCATAAAACTTTTGACAGATAATAAGTTTGATTAACGAAAGTCTGAGAACTAATGGTCTTGACATATGTGGAATTCCGTGAAAAAATCACGCCCTGCTCCTAGTTTTTAGACCTGATGTTATGACAGGAAAAACTCTGAATAGAATCACCCCTGATTTTTTCCAGTTCCAGTGATTAGGAAAAAACTTGAAAAAAATGGAAGAAATTAGACAAAATGGAAAGAATTAAACTTTTTTAATTCTGCTTCTTAAAAACTTTATAACCCTATCTAAGAAAAATGTTAGGAAAAAGAAACTGTCTCAACTCCTGTTGGAAGGAACTTGTTAAGCAATTTTATGTATAATTAAATAATATAATAAGTTATTATATTTTTAAATAATCATTTAATGAATCCAAAAGAAACTAGCCTATTAACTATATAACATTATCCATATAACATAAAACCGAAACTATATAACATTAGTATAAGAAAAGATATAAGAAAACATTCTAAAATTAAGAATAAGAGCACCCAGATAAAACCTAAGTGGATAGGTCTTTTACAACTATTTATGAACTGTAAAACTGAGCAATTCTAAAAACAACTTAAAGACAGTGCTCTTACATTAATATAATTTTCATACCTAATTTGGTAATTATTGATTATCTTTGGCCACATAACCTTGGCAACTTTCCATTGGCTCCAAATTGAAGAAACTCATCGCCATTTGGATTTACTTTTGCCTAAAGAAAAAATAAGTCAATGAAATCAATATCAACATAATTTATATTTCAATCCAAAGTATTTAAATATGTTAGGGGTGTAAAATGTTTCTTTTTTTTCAGAAGGCTGTTAAGGAATTTTTTATTTTATTTCTACTAACTTAAAAAGTAAGGAAAACTCAGAAAGAAATACACTTTTTGAACTTAGTACATTAAATTTTGTTGTTCCCTTCAATTATAAGTTAAACTTACAAAGAAATCGATTATTTTTATCATGAAATAGAAAATTAAATTATCTTATGTAAAATAAAAATACTTTCTTAGTCTGAAAACAAATATATATTATTCTACATATTCAAAGTAAAATTTTTGCATAGCAAATACATGCCATAAATAATATAAAATATATGTACTGTACAATTATATATTTAAAAATTTTTTGAGCTGGCTGATAATATGAACTACTTTTACAAACAAATTTTCCGTGCGCCTTTGATTTTGCATTTAGCAACTTTCGATAGTACACTCGATAGTACTCTTGCTACAATCTTTAATACAACAATTACATAAAGTGAATTTGGCGGCATCTCATAATATTTTTTTTTTAACACTCTTGCTACAATCTTTTATACAACAAATACATAAAGTGAATTTGGCGGCGTCTCATAATATATTCTTTTTTAATGTTTACTTTATTCATAATAGGCCACATGATTAAAGATAACTAAAAAGCAGGAAAGCAAGTTCAACCAGTTCTATTAACTAATGAGCTTAGCCTTGTGTATTTATGAGGAAAAGAAAACCTCTTTGCACGCTTCAGAACCGGGTTTTTTTATATGCAGAGCAAAAGACTGGATTTTATAAAGAAAATATTCATGTTTTTACTTTAAGTTCAGTTAACTTAGTAACATCACAAAATGAAAATTTGACTAATTGTCTATTCCTTATAGAAATGGACAAAAGCAGGAAGTGGATAATACCAGAATTTACCAGTTTCTGTTTGACCAACTTTGCTATTTCCCTGAAGTTAGTTGACACCAGTACTCATATTTATGGAACTTTTGATTAAAAAGCTTCTGATTTTTCCAATATTGGATTGAATGTAGAATTTAATGACTCAAGAATTAGAATCAGCTATACCATGCCAAACTTGGACGCTACATCATTTCAGAAAGCGAATTAAACAGTACTGCACTAAAAGTAATATGGAGCTTTAATGGCAATCATTTTTGCCAATTAGCTGCAAAATGGTCTGGGAAATATTCCAGAAACATGCCATCACAATTTTGATTCTCTGCACTGGGGATGGAAACTGCAAAGAGGAACTTTAAAAAAAATAGCAGGACCATAATCTTAATATTTTCTTTTTACAACTTTTATTGAGACTTTAGGACAGTCAGTTTTTACTAAATATCTATCCTTCTTTCATAAAATAAGTACAATTTCATCTTCATTACCTTATTAGAAAATAAAATGATCTTACAATATTTTGCTATGTTTTAATTTAAATCTAAAGTATCAATTAAAACATAAAAAAAAAAATTTTTTTAAGATTCCATGAAATTTAAAAATAAACCTTTGAAAACATTTAGAAAAAACAAAATTTCTTATGCTACAATATATATGTGGGCAATTCAGTGATACAAAAACATAACAAAAAAATAATAAATTTTAAATAGCACACCTCTATTACCACCTCTCTTAGTTTTGTAGAGACTATTTTAGACTTAAATTTGAAATTATGGTTTTATAATACTTTGTAACAATAAAAAAAAAGTTAATAAAATTTTTATATAGTTTGTATTTTAACATCAGTCACATAGAAATTTAAGAGCTTAAAGCTTTTTTGATATTTGTCACTTTCTATAAGTCAATTCAAGTGCACGTTCATTGGTTCCAATTAATTATAAGTTTTTTTAAAAATAAATTTACAAAAAATCAAATAAATTTACAATAATTATTCTTATAAAAATAGAACATTTTCATAATAAAAATATATTTTACTCCATATCCTTCCTATGTAATTTCAAGTCACATTTTATATTTTTATTCAAAATAAAAACAATTAAGTTTTATCCCTTTATCTTAAATACATATTAGGCTATTGAAAAACATCCCATGTAATTTACAAAAAATATTAAATAGTTATCCATGAAAAGAGTTTAAAAATACAAAAATTTATGAAAATGTAACGTCAGTAACCATGGAATTCATCCATGTTCTACCACTATATACAGCAACTAGACTTCATATTAGGGTCATGTTTAAAAATACTTTAATATGCATTTACATGCTGACTTTTATCCTATATCATCTTTTTAAAGTTTTTAGTAATGAAAAGAAAATCTAACAATCAGTAATTCTATTATTCCCAAAGTTATTAACATTTTATCATTTTAGTTTTTAAATCAAAGTTTTGTTTTCTAGGCCCAAAAAACTTAAGTTAAAATATTTGTTTGATTATTCCTTTTTTTAAAACTAGTTTAATCTGACAAGTTACGGCAAATAAAAAAATAGAATGTTTCAATCTTATATTATATTTATTAGTTATTTAATATATTATGCAATATCAATCAACAAGATCAAACTCTGATGTCAAGCAAGTTAAAGCACAACCACTATAACAAAAGGCTGTTAGAGCAAGTTTTATGACATGAAGCTTATGAAACGTGCTTCAATTTATGCCAACTTTTAAAATGTAAACAATTGTTCAACTGCAGACTTTTTAAAACAATTCAGTTCCTAGTTTTCAAATGACATAAATCTTTTCACAATATTCTTTTTTTCATATAATTCTATAAGAAACTATAATTGAACTGAATTAAATATCAACAAATAACATTATATTGGTTATTTTTAGAAAGTCAAAGAACAATTATGCTAGATCTTATTTGACCAATTTCCAAAGTTGCACTAATCAATTTCTCAACATACCAATAGTTTCATTTTAATGAAAGGTTACAATAAAAAATCTTGAGGCACAGCACTAGAAAATATATTGCATTGAAAATAACATTTAGTTATTAAAATGCTTTACTAAATCATTTATTAATTGGGAGGAATTATATAAACACTGCTTTCAAAAAAAAAAAATTTCTAACTTGTTAAAAAACTTGAAACAAGAAACTTTAACTTAAATATTAGTTTATCTCAAATATGCTACAAAGTACCAATGACTAATGTAGTACAATCAAAAGAAAATGTAAAATCAATAGATATAGCATGGCACCTTTAAACCAGAATATACGCTTAATTCAATTGTATTTTAGCATGAAAATAGCGCAAGTACCTATTTGAAGGTAGTAGTCAGATGTCTTATAAACAAGATTTTAAAGATGCTTCATAAGAAGTAAATAGTATTATTCTTATAGAAGAAAAATCTAATCAAATAAAGGGTTTAATTACTTGCCATTTTAAATAATAAATTAAAATAATAGTTTATCTGATAAGGAAAATAGAATAAATCTTCACTTCTCAAAACAGCAATCTTCATTGCACTAAGCTGAAATACCAATACAAGAAACCAATCTGTAAAAAATTTGTCAATATGTAATAAAAAATGTGTATGTTAACTGTCACACTTCATGAAAACATATTTGTTTTATCATCGAATTATTACATTGGAAAAGCTCACTAGTTTCATACCTATCTATTCAAATGCAAATTATTCCCTATAACATGAGTTAACAATCCAACTTTTAATTAAATTTTGATACTTTAAATACTTAAATTCACAACACGAATAAGCATTTAATTTAATCCAAATGGTATAAGTAAGCAAATGAATAAATCTGATCAGACAATACAATGTGAGTATAAGGCGGTTCAAGGGTGGTGTCAACAATAAAACTAAATAATCAATATACAATATTAAAACTTTATCCCCATAGTAGTAAAAACAAAATAATTTAAATGTTGTGTATTCGGATTGCAATGTATAAGATGTTATGGCTCGTTGTGTTTTCATAGATTAAGGGTACAAAATTAAAAAAAACACTGGTTGATTATGAATAATCTGAAGAGTCACAACAAAACGACTTTATTTACTTCGAAGAATTTTGCTCACTTTTGCACATTATAGACTGTGATGACATGTGACTCACCTTTAAAAATCAATCACTAATTAATATATTTATGACATAGAGATTTGGAGGATAGCCTACACATTCAAGCTTGGAAACACTATACACTTAAAAAAAAACTATTTAACAATCATAAATTGGATTGCAACATTAACAACAACCTAACCGATATCATCTTTTTAAATTGAAAGAAATACGCATATATGTCATAATACATGTTTCTAGTTTCTAATTCAACATTAGAAGACAGGAGACTGGTCGCACACGGTGCGGATTTCTCATTTAACACCACCTAACATTCAGTAATCCTCCATTTTGAATACCATATGTACACCTACACATTTAGACAAGAGGGAGAATACACGATTTTAGGTAACGTACTGGCAATATATAAAATGCAAAGCTTAGAAAAGGTTAGAAAATGGCCAGTAGAGAGCGCTATTGTGATAATGATAAGGAACCGTTCACACTGCAGACGATTCACGCAATTCTAATCAATGGTGAGAGAAAATGAGACCTTAAATCTGTAAAAATCCTGGAGAAAAATTCACCAATCAAAATATTCTTTGAAGAAAAGTGTAAATAACATGCCGTGAGAGTTTTTCTTGATCAAAATGATTTTTACAGGATACAAAAGGATTTTTATTTTCCCTTCATTTCCCTGTACTCCGCTGTTTTTAATGAAGTACCACAGCGAATACGGTATCTGGGGAGAAGACCGGTTCCATATATTGAACCGTCCCATGCTCTCTCCTCCGTTGCTCAATTGTATGGGAATGTATTACGATATTTTCCCTTCCCTAATATCTTTCGCATCTAGCCCATTGTGCAGCCCTAGTGCGACGTAAATTAACAACAACTTTCGCATCTAATTTTCAAAAATATTTTCTATAAAGCTTCGTTACCTAAAACTTTTTAATCTATTTGAAAATCAAAAAGGAAACTAACATACTTCCTTCTCCGATGACTTTCCACTCGCTAATGGTGAACGCGTGAGAAGTATTGCCATAGATAGAAAGTAAAACACAAATCACATTAATAAATCCTCCTAGAATATTAAGCCTGTTCGCACATCGCCTCGTAAGTGTAACACAAGGGGAAGGATACACCGGAAGTTTTTCTAATTTCTTCCTGTTTTAGGGAGTTTGTTATTGTTTTCATTTTGTCATCCATCCATGCACTCACCGGTTTTAATGTTTTTTTAAACTACGAAAAAATTTCACGCGTTGTAAGGTCAAGACCTTACAACAAAGAAAAATAGTCAATAATGTCTAACAGATTTCCAACTTCATCTTCAAAAAAACCACCCATTTTGCATAGCAGAATTGTAAATAAAGAGAACCGTACAATACTATTGTATTCAATTCCAATATCAAAAGTCCTAAGAGGCAGTTCCCAGTAAATCACCAAAGTCAACCATCACTGGCTGCGGTCAGTAAGCGGGTGAGTGATCACTTAGATCAACCTGCAAAGGGACCGAGAGCACATGGTATCATTCCTCGTTAAGAGGAATTCCTCGTTCAACCGTTAAGAGGACGCTATACACAGAGAAAAAATCCTAATTGGCAAAATCAGTGATAAGTCTCGCACTCAGGGGGCGTCACTTTTAGGGAAGTGACAATTGGTATAGTGACAGTGATTTATTATAGAGGGTCACTTAGACTTATCCATGGTCATTCACATGGTGCATGGAATAATGTGAGCATCAGTTTCTTAAAGTTATTTTGCTACAAGGTTCGCCTTCTTTATTTTTAATACCCCCTTTTTTTAAGTATGATTGTGAAATATCCAGAATAAACATTCGAATTATTTATTTACATTAACTGACAATTAATTCGTTTCAAGTTATAACACCAGGAAATATATAAATTTTCATTTACGTGAGTAGAATTAATGTTTGAAAACAATTCATTAAAGAAATTTTGTTTTAATAGTCGGTACTAGAGCTGCTTAGTATATTGAACATGAAATATATGATGAAATATAATTATGAAAATTAAAAAATCCTCAGAAAAATATAATTTCTAAAAACGTAGGCAACTTATAAAGTCATAATAAAAAGTTAAAAAAACTGATACTAATGTAATAAAAAGTTATAAAAATAAAAGAAATGATAATTAATTATAAAAAAATGATTAAAAAAATGAAACATATGTATGTTAGGACGCTTCAAAGAAAATTTTTGTATTGAAGTATCTTTTTCAATCTTACATTCACCATCCGAATACGGGTTTTTTCTGTAAATAATGATAATAAGTACCAGAAAAATTTTATAATTTATTTCTATTGCTTTGTAATTTTGCGTAAGTTTATGTTTTGTATTTGTCTAAGAATATTTCTCCTTTCATTATTAATAGTTTACCACACACACACACGTATATATGAACATACGTGTGTGTGTTAAAAAAAGAAAATCAAAAAGCCAAAAACATTTTAACTCAAAAATAATTTTAATTTTTTTCTGCTTCATACATTTCAATCACTATTTGAATTATTAAAATTTATATTCGAGTATAATTTATTTTTGTATTATAGTACGATTTATTTGTATTTATTTGCACTTTCCTTTTTAGGGTGAATTCTCAATGGTGAATTCTCTCTTCTCTCCATTATTATTTTAGCTTTACAAAGATGGAATTCAGATAAAACGCTTGTTAGCGTGTTGCTTGATGATCAGCAGACTAATTTCGTTTGTTGTTGTTTTTTTTTTTTCAATTTTTTTTATCTTGTTATTCTACCCTTCTACCCTACCTAAAATTTTAAAATTTTGTTTTGATCTTATTTTGAATTCTCTACTTCTATTTTGATTGTGTATCTACAAACACACACCCGTATATCCACAAACGGATAAGAGTAAGGATACACTAAATTTCAAAGAAGAAATGGCCACGAGTGTGTATATTTGGGGGTCTGAATACATACTGTTTTGAGATATTTCTTACTTGCGTAATGGAATGTAAACTAATTTATAATATAGCTAAATTTGTAGACATACATCAGAACTTTCACAATCAGACAAATAATATATCAATATCAAATAATAAACCAATTATCGAACAAAATAATTTTGTAATATTATAAAAAATGCCACTTTTGTGGGTAAAGCAAGCAATTAAGAAAAATATTCTAATTACAAGCACAAAGCCTTTATTTGAAATGATCCTGATCTTTTACTTCTGGATAATTAAGACAAGGAACATAACAAGGAGAAAATAAAAATAAAATAAGTAACAAAAATTCAAAGTTGGGCAACAATATTTACTTTACATGCATATGTGCATTACAAACAGTACAACAACTTCATTTACAGCAAATTTGCAGTTGCAACATGTTTATTATATTTACATATGGTGACAAATATATTTACATATGGTGCTAAATTTACATATGGTGCTAAAAACACATTGGTGCTATTTACATATGGTGCTAAAAACAAGCGCAAACGCTTATTTTATCATAGATGGAAAAAAATGTAATATCAAAAAAGGAATTAAAGGTTAAATAGACATAGTAGGCAATGGTAATTATGGGCATTTTGCCATAGTTGAAAGTTGAGGAAAACATTTATTTTCTTAAAGTAAAAATGTTTCCGCCATTTTTAAATAACTATCGAAATTTCATGCAAAATATATTTAAAAAAAATTTTCAGCACAAGGTAGACTGTTCCTTTGAAAGATAAGAACTATTTTGTTATAAGTTAAGAAAAATTTGTATTGTAATAATTTTTTCTAAATTATTATAATAAGACATCCAACTCAAATCCGATTCTCTTAGGACTAATTTAATCTGAATACTTTGTGTGCTATTAAATTTATTGTATGTGTTAAATAGAAAACTAAATTAAATGGAGACATAAATTAAAAATTAATTTACATAAAATATGTAAAATACAGATTTAGTAATGATTATTTGAACACTTATAAACTAACGACTTTTTGCAAATCTGTTAAATTGCTATATCTACTTATTTTTACAGAATAACAATCCTGATTTATTAATTCCGAATAATTCAGACTAAAAACATAATAAAAGGAGAAAATAATATTAATGAAATAATATTAATATGAATAAAAAACTAAAATATAAAGTCGGACAAGAATAAATAAAGCAAATATGCATTACAAAAAATTTATTTGCAACAAAAGGGAAAATACAACAAGAAAATGTATTTATATCTGGTGCCACTGGGAAAAAAAACCCTTTTTGCAGTTAAACATGAAGTATGCGAAAATTGCGAAAATTTTCAACCATAAATATAAAGTATTTACCTATCTTTTGCTTCTGTTAAAATAACGATTTTTAAAAATACATATGATGCTAAAAAAATAGTGAAAATTGGCATGCGCACAATTAATATAGGAACCATAAAGCAGTAGACACTGTGAATGCAACATTTATTTAGAATAACATAATATTAAAAAATAGTTAGAATTTGAGAATATGGAAGTACAACAAGAATAATTAAGTTTATTGACACAGTCAAAAAATATATTTCCGAATAAACACATGATGCTGAATAGTGGTGGAGATTTTAAAATAGGAAAATAAAACGTGAGTAATTAAAACAAATGATACAGTGAAAAAAAGTTTTAATTTTCAAGAATATACATGATACTGTACTGTTGTGAAAACTAGATTTTCAAATAATAAAATAAAATATGGTCATTTAATTCTGTTGACACTGTAAGCAAAATGAAACGTATTTTCAGAAATGCGCATTATGATGACCAATTAAGAAAATGTAAGAAATGTGTAAATATAATATTCATATTTAAATCTAGCATGCTGTATAATATTAGAATAAAACTCTGAGCAAAATGATATGATGCTGAGAAATAGTGAGCATTTGCTAGTGAAGAAATTAAAGTAGGAGTCAAATATTGGGCAACGCTGTGAATGTAGAATTTTTCAGGGAAAACACTTGTTACTAAGTAATTTTATAAATTTTCAAATTTGGAAAAACAACATGAAAATTCAAATTTATTGAGACTATCTAAAATAATTTTTTTTGTCAAGCACATAAGGCTGTTTCGAAAATTAAATATAAATATAACAGTTTAATTAAATTATAAGAGTTGCGAAAATTAAATTTGCAAATAATATTTATATATATATAGTTTCATGTTATTTATTTTTCGTAAATCCTTTTCTTAATTTATTATTCTAATCGAAACACTTTGTCACACTTTTAAATTCACACCCTGTCCTTAAATCTATTTTTGGCTCAAGCATGCATTAATTAAAAGTAAGACATTTTCCCCTTTGCTCTTTGTGGGAAAAACGCGACATATTTAATAAACATCTTTCCTTTTTCCCTAAATTATTTCCCTTTTTTCCTAAATCGAAACATTTAACGGATTTTCTTTGCAAGATTTTCCCTAGCATTTAGGCTGGAGCACGAAGAAATTGTGGCTCATTCTTTCTCTCTCTCGTCATACATCTCAGAACGATTAAATAAAATAAATTTGTTTGCTCTCTTTTAAATATATATATAAACTGCTGTTTGTAGAAAATGCAACACCATGAAAGAATCATCAGAATCAAATGAAATTTAATGCAGAAACGACTTGTACTGATACAAATAAATGATGAAATTTTCAAAACAAAAGAAACAAATTAAGCGTCCGAAATCAGTATTTGGTGCAGCCACCACGCGCTGCAATAAGTGCTGCTATACGACGTGGCATGGAGTCAAACAGATGTTGAATATCTGCTTGAGGAAGAGAATTCCATNTATATATATATAGTCGAACCCCGCTATAATGAATAGTCGGTAGACCAAGCGATAAGTTCACTATATATGGTGGATCAGTATATCCAAAATTTATGAACAAATATTTTCTTGTCATCTTGCGCAATTATTGTGGGAAATAGGGACTGCAATGGCACGTAATTTGTTATATAAATCTTTAAGTAGATAAGTTTACAAAGTCTCTCTACAATAGTTTCCCTACAACAAACTACTTCCTATAACGAAATTTTTAACCTAAATGTTAAATAACATTCAAAATATTCTCCATACAGTGAAGTATGTCTTATTTTAAAAGTTTATCTTTCCAATTTTTGAAATTTTTTAGATGTTTATCTTTTTTATTTACTTCATTTTTGAAGAAAAATCATTACGCATTTATAGTTTGAATTTCTGTGCGACCGATTAACTCCACTATGTGTCTAGCTTTGGAACCCCACACATAATTCATTTCAGCGAAATAACTCATTTTAAACACGCCTTTAAAAGTGTATTACTCCATTTTTAATCAAATGTTATAATTATATATTTTTAAACGTATGACGTAGATTAAAAACTTTTTGAACTTACATAATATGCAACGTAACTATACTTATAATTAAATATATTATGCAATTCTATCTCACGCAATTCTTTATATTGGTTTAGAATTTTGCATAGCTATTTCTTGAGTATACTGAACGCAACTTTATATGCAGTTTATTTTCTAAAAGGAAGAAAAAAGAAAAAATAGAAAGAGAGCAAAATTGTCAGGAAAGAAATTAATCTTATTTAGTATGAAATAAACGTGAAACTGATTAAATATCTTTATCTTAACATGATTTCATAAGTTATTATTATATGATTAATTTTTAATATGATAAACAAAACAAAAAAATAAATAAAAAAATGACGAATTGATTTTTGGAGCGTTTAATTAAATTAATATAAAGATTTAATATAATTAATTAGTTAAACTGGTAAAGTGGGTTCAATTACTTTTCATTGTAAAAAATGTATGCATTCAAAATATTAAAAAAAAGAAGAAGAAAAAGAAAGATAAGAAAATTCAAAAGAAAAAGTCTTGAAAATCGTATTTATTCTCCAGTTTGAAATTTTTCATGATTTGGTTTGTAAGCAAATGTCAGTTTCAGACGTCGTGGGGTTCAGACTCAATATCGGAAGCACTAAATTTCATTTTTACAGATTAAACTTATATTAATATCTTTTGAAAGGCTTTACCGATAAGCACGGATCTTTTTTGTTATAAAGTGATGGCATGATTTGGAACATTTTACTATGTTTTCCATCCTTCTACGTTGAGTTATTCGCATGCAATCTTTGTAAAAAGGTTTTTTCCCTGTTTCAACGAAATCTTGAGAAAAATGAAGCACCTAATTACATAGAGGTGAGAAAAATTATGGGACAGCAATATGCAAACATACAGTTGGCAGTAGTTTCGCGTACAGAATGCATAAATGGGCAGTGCTCAGGCAGGACTTTTACTTGTGCTCAACTTATTCATCTGAAAATGTTTTTGATGAAATTATGGCGATAGATGATAATTAAGAGACTTTGAACTAAGAATAGTAGTTGGAGGTAGGAGTTGGTCCTAATGATGATAATTATAATTTTAACCGTATTGCACATTCAGGCAATATATTGTACCGAGATCTAATCATGTGCATAATTCTAAAAGTGATGGTAATACTAGAGCAAGAAGTGGTCACTTTAGTAAAAGATTAATTTATTTTAAAGACTATGAGTAATATTTTATCGTAATGATTGTTTTAATAACTTCTCATTGTTTTAATAACTTGTGCAGCACCCGCACTTCCGATTGCCGTGGAGGGAGGAGCGGCGATCGGAAGTACGCAAACCGCATTCAGGAAGAATGGCCCCTGCAAAATAGACAGGGTTAGTCCTACGTCATCAACGACGTCACTAGCTCTCCTCGTTCCAAACTTTGTTTTGAACGGAGTAAACAATATGGCGTTTCTCATGTAGTTAAAAGTGGGTCAATTAAATCTTTGAGTATGTAGTGCGTTATATCGCGATAGCGAGAATGTGCATCGGACTTTTAGTTGTGAGAATCGATAGCGAGAATGCGCCTTTGGCATCGAACTCTCAGGTGTGTGAATGGCAACGGTTCGAGAAAGGAGGAGCTAAAGAAGATCGGCGAGCAGTGGGACACAAACCACGATCGGTGAACGACGCACGCTATGTGCGCTTAATCACTCTCAATGCTAATGTTTTAATCATGTAAATTCTCTCTATTATTTTTTTATTTCTAATTAATAAATATGTAGTCTAGTTAATTTAACTTTTATTTTTTATATTTTTATTCATAATTAACTAGGTTATCTATAAATATATTAATATAGAGTCGAATTTAACCACCGAAATGGCAAGAAAAAGTGTAATTAAGTTCTTCCATATCGTAAAGTTTTTCTCTGATGAACCTAAATAGATTGAAAGAGAAGAGAATGCCGTAGACGCTAACTTTTTGAATATATGATTGGGAGAATTTGCATTTAATATTTACCATATAAATTGTATTTATAATCTGGAAATCGGAAATTTGTGAACTTTATTATTTGGAAAATGTTATTTCTAATTTATGTTTAATTTTTCTTAAAATAAGTATATTATATTAAATATATTTTTTTTTTATAATATTGAGACAACTTATTAATTGTAAATAATTATGAAAATTTTAAAACAAATTAAAAAGTTATGTAAGGAACATGAATAAAGTCAGATAAATTAGTAAAAATTATAAAACATTTAAGTACACGTTTTTAAAATAGCTCAAATTAATTTTTAAATTTACTAAAATGATAGGAAGTAAAAAAAAAAAAAATTATATAAAACTTAAGCAAGAGTTTGACAGTTGACAGGTCTTAAAATATATTTACAACCAATTAAACTGTAAGTATTAGTATTATGAAATTAAAAATAAATTTGGATAATGGTGAATTTAATGTTACGTTCAACATAAGCCAAAGCACTGTAACAAATAAAATATTACTATGACGGTAATTTAAAAAAATTTGATTTAGACTGTCAAATGCAAATTTTATTCCATAAAAAGTGATAACAGTAACATTTGCCAAATATAAAAGCTGTATAACTAAATATGCATGCATACATTAAAAAGAGTTGAGTTTTTAAATAAAAAAATTTCTTCAAATTTGAATTATATTTATTTGAAATGCATGTGAAATTAATATTATTAAATAAGTAAAATTTAAACACATATGTGAATACATAGATTAATAAATATGAATGTTAAATAAAAGTTTATGTATAATAAAAGTTAAGTATGTTTTAACGAATTCTAAAAAAATTCATGTTGCACTTTCTTATCGAATAAAATAGGAATCTGAGATTTTAAGATAAATTTATGATAAATGAGCTTATTGATGGCTCCCTATCTGGTCGTCTAAACAAAATATAGAACTTGAAATTAAAACAAAAATATAGGAAATTTAAAGCTTTTTAATGCTTTTCTTTAATTAAAAATCTTAATTAAATAAAATAAATTCTCTTAAATTCTTAAATAAAAGCTTTAATTTAGCTATTCTATATATTAAAATTCCGGAAACTAAACATAGTATTGACCCTTTTAACATAACAGGAGCGAAACACATAACCATTTTTTTAAACATTTAATGCACTTAACTCGTAAAATCTACTGATACACCGTATAAAGAAAACTACTTAAATTAGGAATAAGTCTCTTAGAAGCGCTATATAAATTTTTATATTTCAATAATTAACTAAAAATCTTGCCGTCTTAAATTCACCATTGAAATGGTTCGTTCGAAAAAATGTTTGGAACTAGTTTGAAAGGAGGCGGGGTTTGACGTCATGAAATACGTCATCACTGTCCCTGTCTATTGGCCGCTAGGTAATAATTAATTAACGATTAAATTTAAAATTGGGCTGGCAACAATGGTTCTTGTTTTTGTTTTCGTATGGACCAGTGTAAAATTTGAATTTATATGGACTGAACTTGGCTGGTAATGTTGGCTGACTGAATTAGTGGCTGGTAAGGATGAAAATACAATTGAAAGACTTGGTTTAGTAAAAATTACATATAAAAAATTTTGAGTTGCAACCTTGCATGGCCCATGCTCATTCAATTAAGATTTAATTATCAGAGCTTTAAAAGTATGATAGGAACGCTGTATTAGTTCTATTATTATCTAGTAATTTTTGATATTTGTATTCTAATGACGCTTGAATTTTTTTTTTTTTTGAAAACAGGGGAAATTATATTACTTACAACAGTTAAAACTATATATTTTTAACAAATTTGTTCTCAAAACTAAAGGGAGATTCCGATTAAGAGTTATAAATAAGGATTAAATCCTTGATAATTTTAAAAAGCCACTTTTTACAGGGATCGTAGTTGACCTGATATTCCTTATTATGAATAGTTTGTGTTATTTAAACTTTTTTAGCTTTTTTTCCTAATATTCCTAATTTTTTTCTATTTCAGAGCTCTATTTTACTCTTCTATTGTATAGTAAAAGCTTGATATAATAAGTAAAAAACATATTATGAGAAAATCGCTATTATGACAAGCTTTCAAGTCACCATCAATACACTAATATTAAATATGCAAAAATTGTATGTTTATAACAAGTAAAACATTAATACCCTATTAATACCATACCCTATTGCTCCAATTTTTTTTAAGGAAATAAATTTTTCTTCTGTTTAAGTGAGCAATATTACACAGAATAGAAATTATTTTTTTATTCACTCCTGATATCAGTTTAGAAGAGGGAATTCATATAGGAAATTTCTTCTGCTGATTTTGAAAATCTTGCTGCATACTTCAAAAGAATGTGCTTTTTGTTGACCAAAATCTATCATGCTGCCTATTTCCCTTTTGTAACAACTCACTATTAAAATCAACATTCAGTGTTATTAAGTTAAAAGCTATTGCATTTTGTTAAAAATTTTTCATCGCATTTTATAAAAATTCATATCATAGCAACTTGCTGTTAATTTCTAACTTGTTTGAGTTTTAATGCTAGTTGAAATGTATTGTGTGGAAAAAAATAACTCGAAGGAAAAACATTTACATTTTAGCACTAAATATGTGTATTTGTTCATAATAACAAGCTCTATAAAATGCCAGTTTCATTTCTTATAGTAAATTGTGGTTATGATAGACTTTAGCTGTAGTTTGTTATGGAACAAAATTACTATTAGTAATGTTAATAGTTAATTTTATACAATTTTAAATGTATCCTCATGTGTTTTTTGCTGTTTTTTTTCATCACCAAATTTTCTATTGTGTTTCTGTCAATCAATTAAATGTTTACTCTTAATAAGTATGTACTTTGACGAAAAATATTAAATAATAGAAGGTTAGATATGTTAAGTTTTTTTTTGTGGATTTTTATTTTTAAATATACAGAAGTTGAAACTATTTTAAGTTGAACTTTTTAAAGACTTAATTTTGAGTAAGTTTAGTAGGTAAATTATTTTAGTTTGGGGACCATAATGTAAATTGTTCATTATTTTCATTATAAAAATATAAAAGACTGATAAAAATTTCTTTATACAATAAGGTCATTTTGAAATAAAGAAAAAAAAACTTAAATTTTCAGAGTAAAATTTTAGTTTATCAATTGTGATGCAGTAAAAAAATATCTCTTTCAGCAGACTATAAATAATAACTTTTCAGGAAGTTGCTCAGTTTTATAAATCATGACTTTTTAATTGGTTCTCCCTGATCTTTTGTATTTTATTTATTTATTATCTTTTTTTTAAAAAAAAGCTAACTACGCTAAAATTGCCCTGAGTTTGGCCCTGACTTTTGTGTATTTTTCATCCTGAGCTTCTTTTTTGACCACTATGAGGCATGCTTTTGATATAGATATTTTATTTATAATGTTTATCATGTACTGTTTGACAAATATACCCAATTTTTGACCAAAATAAAACATCTGTGTCAGTGTGTGGTGAAACATTTGTGTTTCAGCAGACAAATAAAATATGCACTGTCAGTGGTCTGGTCTTATGACTTGAGTTTAATAAAAACTTAGGATATAATTTTTTATTAATTTCTAATGTATACATCATTGATAATCTATTTTGGCTCGTCCTTTGATTATCAACCATGATTTTAAAGATCTTCATACTTAAAAAAAAGAAAAAATATTTTTTTGCTCTTATATTTCCTTTGAATGATTGATTATCATGAAAAAATTTGATCTTTGGGTTTTAACTATAATTTGCATTTGCACAATAAAGGATTTTAAAAAAAAAAATATAAGTTTTTTTAAAAAATTTTTTACAGACCAATTTTTGTTAAATGTATCCTGAACATTCTGTTATTCTTAAATGTTTTTGGAGTGCTGTCAATTGGATGTCCAAGTTAGGAACCTAAAATATCTACCTTGAGAGTTTTGACATAACAGTTTTTTTTTTAAAATCCACTTTTGTTTCTCAATTTTCCTTATTCTCGATTTATTATGAAAAGTTGTTTCATCATTTTTGACAATGCATTAATTATTAAGAACAGAATGTTTTTTTTTTATCATCTGCTATGTTTATTTATTTGATATTTATTAAAAGAATAACATATTTTAATGGAATGAATTCTGATTCCTCAGAGATGTGGTATCATTTACAAGTTTTTCCTGATGTGGAATCACATCTGCTTTTGTTAAAAATAAAAAAATGTCTGCTTTTATAAATAAAAGAAGATAGTTTATGCTTAAACATACGATTATTTATTACTGAAAGCAAAGTCCCACAGTGGACTGATCGATAAGACTCGGTTCTCAGCAGATCACCAAAGTCAAGCATCACTGGCTGCGGTCAGTGTGCGGGTGGGTGACCACTTGGAACAGTCTGCGTAGGGACCGAGGGTGTGTGGTATTGGTCCTCATTAAACTGTTCTACCGTAAAGTGCTCGACTTCGCGTGCAGGTCGTCGGGCTACCGAAGCGGGGGTGCCATCCCCTCTGCAGAAGATCAAAATTGTGATGGCGTGTCTTCAGATAATCCTCAGCGATGCTTCCCAGACCGTCGTCAATAGCCCATTGTGCAGCTCTAGTGCGACGTAAATAAACTACAACAACTACTAAAAACAAATTTGATTAAATAGATTGCAGCTTTCTTTTTTTCCTTAAGTGATACATTTCTGATTCCACTATGTTTTGAATTTTTTTTTTTTTCGTTAGCAAAAAATTTTATATTCAATAAAATAGTTCTTGTTATTCATGAGTTTTAAGATAATGATTTTTTTTTCCATTCAATTGATCTCATTATATTCTGCCTTGTCCAATGTTTTAATATTTATGTTAGTACTTCATATAATTATCGTTTCTATTTGTTAATTTTTAAGTGTTTTTATTTACTTTGATCCCTTGTATTTTATCATTTTCTTTTTTTTCTTTATAACTAGGTATGAAATATATTACATTTTTAATCATTAATTTTGTTTTATATTAATTTGGTGATTTTAATAAATCTTTAGTTTATTATAATTTGGTTTTATTTAGTTTATTTGCTGTGATACTATTAATTGTTATTGGTTGTTTGGCTTTACTTTAATTAAATGAATAACGTCAATAAACTTATATATTTCCAATTTTTTTTTTGTTGGTTTGGTATTTATCATTAAAATAAGTTTTTTTAAAATATTTTTTTATTAATTTGTGGTTTTACCGTCATAATTTATATTTTCTATCTTTTCAGACGAATCCAGGTTCTGTATACAGCATCATGATGGCTGCATCTGTGTTTGACAACATCGTGGAGAACGCCCATTGGCAGCTTGCATTCAACATTGTCATACTGTCCTATCATCTGGAGTAATGGTATGGGGGCCATTGGATCTCCTCTTGTTCACATTGCCGACATTTTGAACAGCAGCCATTACATTTCTGATGTGTTAAGGCCAGTTGCTCTGCCTTATCTTCAAGGCCACCATAACGCTACGGCAAGACAATGCACAGCCGCATGTTGCCTGCAATGTCCTGACCTTCCTTGATACAGAACATGTTTGCTTGTTGCCCTGGCCAGTACGCTCTACTGACCAACTGAAAACATCTGGTCAATGGTTGCCAAACGCCTGGTACCCCACCACTCGTCAGTCGCTACAGTCGAGGAATTGAGGCATAATGTTGAAGCTGCATGGAATGCTGTACCCGTCCATGCTGTCCAATCTCTGTTCGACTTGATGCCCAGGAGAATAACTGCTGTTATTGCTGCCAAGGGAGACTGTTCTGAGTACTGATTCCTCAGGATCTATACATCCAAATATCCTGAAAATTTAATTACTTGTTCTTCCAACTATAATGTATGTGCCCAATAAATATCATTCTGTTATTTGCTTTCCTTTCTGGTGTAGAAATTTGTGTATTTATCCATCTTATTTATGATTAAATTTTTTAAATAGAAAATCTTAACGTATTGCATTTTTATAGTTTTATTTTTTCGTTTCTATTCTTAGAAACATTCATCTGTTGATTAAATATATGATTTTGATTAAATACAAATTATTTTTATAATATTTTTTTTGAAATTTAGTTTTTTTTATTATATTTTAGGATAACTTAGTTGTTAAAAAGGTCTTCTTTTATTTTATTGATTAATAAGTTCTACTTTTAGTTTTCGTCTTTTTGCAACTTTGTTTCATATTTTAGGAAAATTTATTTATTTTATAGCTAAGGATTGATATTGGGTCTCTATTTATCTATTTTTTGCTTGTCAGTTGATAAGAAGTACTATTTTTTAGTTATTTATTCTATTTGACTTAATTTAATAAATATAGATTAATTTGAATTCAATTTGGATTGTGTATAAATTTATTAGTTTCTTTTTAGGATGGTTTGATAATTGGTGTTAAAATTTTTTTTAAAATTATTTTCTTTTTAAATTTTTATTGTTTAATTAAGATTTGCAATCTTAATGGTGCTTATCTTATCTTGACCATTATTGATTTTTATGGATGCCAACATTTTGTGTTTTGATTGCTTATTGTGTTTTTGTTTGCAGAAAGGGTTATCACATTGATTAAAGTTTAATTTTAATTATATATAGATTATTTATGTATTTTTGTTTTCTTTTCATCAATTTTGTACTGATAATTTTTTTTTAATATTGCCTAGTAAATTCCTTTAGTCTTATTTTACCTTTCAGTCATGTTTATAGATCTGGAAATTTATTATTTCTCGTTGACAATATTTAAATCTTCTGATTTTTTTAAAAATAAAAATTCCTTATTAATATATTGCAATTGTATTTATAATTTGAATATACATTTTTATTAAATAAAAATTTTGTTGAAATTTTAAAAAAAAAAAATTTCTGGAATTTTATATAAATCTGCCTGGAAAACATAGAAAAGTCAGGGAAACATTTCTTCTTTTTGAGCATGAATCATGATTATATATATATATATAATCATGGGAGGGGATAATAATGAAAGAAATAACAAACATCTGATTTAAAGAAAAAAAAAGATTTAAATTTTTAAAAAAAAACGGAAAATAAAAGATATATTTTTATCAACCCACAAGATTATATCCGCAAAAAAGAGTGCTATCTGATATTGTATCAATATGATATCATTTTGAACTTATCTAATGAGTTCTGTTTACTTGCAGCTTATGCGCAATAAATGAAACTTATTGTTTTTCATAACTTTTGTCATNGTATATAGTATGCAAGAATATATATAGTATGCAAGAACCAAGGAAAAGCCCTTAATAAATGTCCCGAAGTAATCCCACTTTACATTGTTTTTTTTTAGGCTGATTTCCTAATTTAATTAATAGTTAGCTGTAACTTATTGCAGGGTTGGAGCAGTTGTGCAAATTGAACCAAACAGCTCCAAAAAGAAATTTCAGCTCCTTAATACTGTTTTTTGTTTTTGTTCCAAAATTGCGCCACGCTGCTCCAAAACTCTAATAATATTCTTGAGTGAAAAGTGCATTTTTGTCCAATTTGTGTGCAAAAATCAATTGTTACATCACATTGAAAGTATTTTGATTGGAAATCAATGTAGAATGAGTTTAAAAAGGCATAGCAAAATTATGTGGATTTAGAATCATCACAAAATGAGTATGTCAAAAAGTGTTTACTCAAATTCAAAATTCGGGAGTCTTAATTATATCATATTAAAAATTTTGCAATTTGAAAAACTATATGGAGGTGGCTGAAAACTATCAGAAAATCAAGTGAATTTAGTAGGAGATTGACTGTTTCTTTTATTATTTTTTTAGTATAGTGGGGCACGTAATCAGGACTAAAGAGTATGCATGACAGTAATTTTTCCTTCAAAGGGTTAACAGGTGTGATGTGTCCCTCAAATCTTGCCTAGAATGAATCCTACATTGATGATGCAACATATCATAAATGATTGTTTATATCAGTGATGCTAAATAAAGTTTATTACAGTAAGGGAATTTTTAGTTTTTGATATTATTGGCATATTTCTATTATATAATTATTTTAAATGCATATTTAAATATAACCTAAGCCTCTTTTTAAATTTTTTTCTGCAGGAAACCCTTGTAGATATTTTTTCCGTTATTCTTTGCATGGTTAATTGCTTATTTAATTTGGTTATTCCTTGCATTTCTGTTATCCTTTTTATATAATAATGCATTTTCCACTAATGTTAAATCTATTATAATAAAAGGAAAAGTTAGTGTGCCTATGTGTGTTTCTCTTGTAGCTCTGAAACTCTTAGTTCTTCCATCCTGAAGTTTGGACAGTGGCTGCAAGAAACAATTTTAGCCTTTGATCCTAAAATTCATTCAAAATTTTCAATTAGATCTTTAAGAAGAACCATTTGAAAAATGAAATTTTCTCATTGGTTCAGCATTAGCCATTGTTTTAAATTAAGCTACAGATGCAAACTAAGGTAAACAACGTTTAAGAGCACAAAAAATATTTATAAATGCAGACAGCTTTAGAAGAAAAAAATAACTTTCTTCTTCTAAAGTCATTCAAAATTGTTGTTCAATTTTTGATTTAGATTTTTATGAGTCCTATAATAGTTTCAAAAATTCCAAACTGTTGGTCAATGACGTATCCAGCATTCCTTATCTTTCTCCTGTTTGGAAATCTATGATTAAACCTAACTAACCCCCATTTTTTGTTCCTCGCTTCCCATTCGTCGTCATCCATTCACCCTTCCCTCCTATTGGCCGTTGCTCTAACCCCCCCTTGTGACGTCACTTTTCTCTATATATTTACCCTGTTTTCTCTCATTTCTTTCTGTTGCACTGATGAAGGTTGCCCTTTGAGCATCCGAAACAGCTGTCTGCATTTATAAATAATTTTTGTGCTCTTACAGGTTGTTTACCTTAGTTTGTATTTTAGCACAAAGGTCGCCCACTTGTGTATTTAAGCTACAGATGATTAAACTTTTTCAAATATTTTAAAGATGACATCATAGCTTGCTTATTACTCTGATAAAAAAAAAAGTTTATTGCACATACTTTAATATTTATATGTTTTTTCACTATGTCAGATAAACTTAATGAGCAATGCTGACATGTTAGCTATAGCAGACTATATCAACAAATTAGCATTCCTGAAGCTATCTGAAACCACACCTTTTTTTTTTTTAGTACTTCCTTTAAGTTACTGCTATACTTAGTAGCTGTTATTCTTTGCATAGTTAATTGCTTAGTTGATTAGGTTATTCTTTGCACTTCTGTAATATCCTTTTTATTTAATAATGCATTTTTTACTAATTTTAAATCTATTATAATAAATTGAAAAGGTTGTGTGTCTGTGTCCCTCTTATAACTCTGGGATTGCTAGTTCTATCATCCTGAAATTTGGACAGTGACTGCAAGGAACAATTTTAGCCTTTCATCTTAAAATTCATTTAAAATTTTCAATTAGATCTCTTGGAGGAGCCATTTGGAAAATGAAATTTTCTCGTTGGTTTTGCATTAGCCATTGTTTTAAATTAAACTACAGATGATTAAACTTTTTCAAATATTTAAAAGATGACATCAGTGATGTTTGTTTATTGCTCTATTTCATCAGAAAAGAGTTTATTGCACATACTTTAATATTTAATTGTTTTTTCCTTATAAATTCAATGAGCAACGTTAATGTGGTAGCAATGGCAGACTATATCAACAATTTAGCATTTCAGAAGCTATCTGAAACCACATTTATATTTTGTTTTTAGTTCTTCATTTAAGAGGAGTTTCTATTAAAATAAATAATTAAAAAAAATGATAAATGAAATGTAAAATAATAGTTATGTATTGAAATACAAAATTGATGGAAAAGTGATACTAATTTGTTTAAGAGAATTGTAAAAAATCACTGTACTATTACTGACGCTAATGATGATGGTTAATTAATTTTTGTAAATATGTGTAAATTTAAATAAAGAAAATAAGCTTTGCACTAAAAAGCAAAATTAACGATATTTATTCCCTTAGGAGGAGCATAAAAAATCGCCATACTTCTATAGACGCCAATGACATTTTATTAATTTTAATAATATTGACTACTGGTATTATGGTAATTGGTGCAGTTTTAATAAGGACTCTGTTACAGAATTTCACATAGTTTCAAAAAATATTTTTTCCTTTGGTAGTCAAGATCGTGTCTTAATATTTTAATGATTTAAAATTACAAGAACTTTTTTAAGAATAATTCTTTTAAATATAAACAGTATATTAAATTTTGCAGGCAAAATTGTACTATTGTTCTAATGCTAGCTAAATATCAAAATATATGCTCCGAATATTAAAATTACTTTCTCCAATCTGCTTTACCAAATTGATTTGCTCCTAAACAAATTTTTTTCTTCTCCAAAATTGTTAGGCTGCTGTTCCTTCCCTGCAATTAGCTTATTTCAGGCCAGCCTTTTGAACCATTATGGCACTCAAAAATCCAAGCATTAGAGACAAAAATTATTAGGGGAGTTTTCTTTCTTTTTTTTTTTTATTTGCGAGCTTTTCAGAAATGATGCATTTGAAGTTGGAAAGACTCTCTGCTATATACACTACTTGACGATTGTTAAGGAAAAGTTACATTTTTCCGAATAATTAATTATAGACGCTGATTGATGAAATGAAACTAAGTACATATTTAGTAGAGATAATGTGCATTTACTATTATGCAAAATAATGAAATAAAAAAGATGCTTTTTGACAGTTTTTCCAACAGCCGTGAAAAATTTGTCTTCTTGCCAGAATGAAACAAAAATGAGTATCTCAGTAAGATATATGATTATCTCGGACATTAATGTCATCATCATCGAAATAGATCTGGGGCCGTTAGCGGCCTTTTTCCCATTCGCCTTGTATTGTGGTCTTTAAGGTGGTTCTTTCTCGTAATTGGAATAAAAGGAAATTAAATATTTTGTATTTTAGTTAAAATTACGTCACTACAAAAATGAGCTGCCATCGGTCTGAGGTTTATGTGTTCTCTTAAGTTTNTTGAATCCTGCGGTGTCACAATATATGGTCTTTTCAAAAAATCTGAAGTTTTGCTTTGCAATGTGATGATCTAAAAAATCTATGTTGAGGTCGCGATGTATGTTTTTATTGCGGATAAACCATCTTGCTTTTGTTATTTTCCTGAGGATTTTATTCTGGCATACTTTGAGTTTTTTAATGAGTGATGTGGAGATGTTGCACCAAGCCGGACATTAATGTACATGTTACATCTGTTATTTATGCTGTCCACTAAACTATTGAAGAGTCCTTATGGAATAATGTCCCACTCCTCTCTCAAGTCGGTTTTCAGCTCTTGAGCGCTTTGAAAACGGTGTGTTCTTTCTGAAACACGTCTGCCAAAGGCAACCTAGCATACTCTATAGGATTTAGATCCGAGGAGTACATAGGCCATTGCATATGGACAATATGTTTACCTTCTAGTGTATCTGATGTTTCACCAAGCCTGTGTGGGCGCGCTTTGTCGTCCATGAACAGAAAATCTGGACCTACCACACCCCAAAAAGACGAACATGATTCAAAATAATCTCTCTGCAATACCGCTGCGATGTAATATTGCCTCGTTCAAAGATGTGAAGCAGTATTCAGCCATTGAACTTGATGTCTGGGCCATACCGATCACGTTTATGAACCTAATGTGCACAAGGTGTTCTGCACTAACAGGTAGCCAGAATTACTTGCCATACTGAATCGAGATTTTTACTGGTTACCCCTACCATTACGTTTCTTTCACCAACGCAATATTCTTAGACAATGGCATGGTTAGAGCAGGATGCATTGACAGGTTTCCGTG